TATGGCAACTGAGACCGACGGCTCAGACAGACGAACATACTCCGAGGCAAGGAGGGGTCTCAATATGTTAAGAATGGTCACCATCTATCGACTGAACTTGCTAAGATTGCTTAACTTTGCAATGTGCTAAATCACTTAATCACAGGCCCCTCACAAGTAACACATCTATACAAATGTAATGACAGAAAAAGATTTTTTGCCAAATGTTCTAATTATTTGACCTGAAGATTTTATGGAGGTAGACAAAAAGAGCGGTGCAAGTGGCACAATTAATGTTACAAGTATCCATAAGCTAAGATGACCGTTTTCATTTCGTAGCTAGCTTGAAATCTCTCTAAAGCTACGTCCTAGACCTACAGAAGCAGAAACTAATCGTTGTTGAAAACATCCGTTTGGTAAGAGATTAAGAATACGGAGTGTCACCACCTCTATTCATCCCGTGGGTGTCGTAAGAGCCGACTGAGGCAGCAAACTACGTAGGACAACAGCACTGCAAAGAGAAGGAAAACTGGCAACAACCCCTTTGTCAACCCATCTTGCTAGCATGGTATAGTAGGCCAAAACCTTGTTTCTAAGGTGAGGCCTATGTCCAGCAGTGGACTATTAAAGGTTGTTAATGATGATGATGAATCGTTGTTTAAGGATAGTAGTCTTAGAGCAATTCAGTCTACTCTAAAATCATTAAGTTTTATGTCACGTCTATCGAAAGTATTAAAACTTAAAGAATGTCTTTATCGTAGAAATGTAACATTTGAATTGATTGTAAGCCAAGGAGCTACGTTTAACGTACGATTCAATTACCGGACACGGATCATTATTGACTGAATAGCATCTTTCGTCTGTTGCAATAAGGATGAATGTAGGGCTAACACTTTATACGTTTCCAAGAACTATGAAGATAAGATTCGAATTATTTGCAACTAGCCCGCGACTTTGCTCGCGTGAAAGATATTTTTCTGAAATGGGGTACAGTAAAATGTCTCTAGTTGATATTCACTCTATGTTAAGATCGTTGAAGTAGTTTAGTTTACATGTTATAATAGTTGTTAGAATGTTTATGCTTAGACATGTTACGTCACGGTATGCGGTATTCCTATGGTTGAATAACAAAACAATATGTACAACACGGTTAACATAGTGAAATATGAGATCAAAAAATACATTAAGTTCATTGACCGCATTAACTTTAAAATTATTTAATCATTATCCCTTAGGTATACTTATTTAAGCTATAACTTAAAGTATTAACCAAGTTTTGAAAATATTGCATTTTATCAGTATTATATTATATCGTAAACATAAGTAACGTGTTGAAAATAGGCAGAAATCGTGAGTTCGATACCTGCTTAATGCAAGTATTTGTACTTCTTGCTGCTCTTATTTGTCGAGCATACCTGTGATTATCACCCAAATTAGCACGTAGGCCGACAACAGTGGTGACAGTGACAGTGACACGCACCTACTGCGTGAATATTGGATATTGCCTTAATATATGTATGTATAGAGCGAAATTTATTTACAAGTACTAATGTCCATTTAAACTAACGACAAAATTATCAGGAGATTATATAATGATCTTCGACTTATCTAAATATTAAAATCCTGGCTAGACAAAGCAGTACCGTATCGTATATTATAGTATATTATAGCAGAATGCAGCTGTGTTTATTCGTGTAGCAAATAACTAATAATACAGTCAGACGCTTTCAAATTTAAACGAAAGTCACGTAATAGTCTCGTTAAAGTTATTATTGCTACTCCATGTTATAGAAACTTCTCAAGAGTACTTGTCAAGTATATCAAGTTGAGTGGAAATAATAGGTAGCTGTTCATTTTTTCAAGTCAAACAGACCTAGTTAACATTTATTGAAAGTTGTTTACATAGCGCTTAACGGTAATCAGCACGTGTGGTTAGGTGATCTCTATAAAAAGTTTAAACGTTCACGTATCTTGATTGGACAATTTACTATCATTTATGTCATTAGGTAGAAAAAAAGACATTCTAAAGTGTTAGGACTAATTCACATATCTGTATCGTCTAGGCATGTTAAACGGTGTTACGCTAATGACGTGTATAATAATTGTTTATAGTTCTCATACGACGCGGTCGCTCTGATACGATATCTACCCGACAAGTCACAAAAGATAAAATTGTCTTTCTTTCCGCCATTTCTTCTTGTCTACTTTTTCAAACAACAACATGTTACATCAAGAACTGATACGAAACTAGTTATGCTGCCTGGTACCATATGTAAAATGATCGGGTGTTGCGAAAACAGTGAGCCTGAGCTCTATACTGCTAAAACAAATTGGATTTATAAGGCCGCTAATTTCTTGTACCTGATTCATGAATTTGGCACGAGCGAACCCGCAAGAAAAGTTATTTATTAGAAACGCGATACTCGTACAAATGAAACTATTTGAGTAACAAAAAACATGCCCTAGATTGAATACAACTGACCTACACCGGTTTTGTGTCACGCCCACTTACTTTCAACGGGTAAGCTCCATCAAGTTCACGACAAACTAGATCTATTCAATATAAGGCTATCGTTAGACAATATAAGAAGAAAATGACTGAATAGTAGTAATAGATTCTCGGAGCCATGTCAAAATAATAAAACAGTCTATCATTGAGACTGGATTTCATATTATTTAACGGTCAACCGAGGTGAATAAGGCGTTAGGAGGTATCAAGGAGTAAACCAACACTTAATTAACTCTAAAGCAAATCCAAGGAAGTATCATACAAGCAGTTAGAACATTATCTCAGAAGAACAGAACAAAAAATATTTCAAGAGTGCTTTAGTACACTCTATAAGTTATATGGAATTCCCCTCAGAAGAGAAACGCGTCCTTGTACTAACCAGATTCTTTTGACTCGCTACAAAGGCGTTTTTGGAGGATTTTCAATGATCCTTAAGTCACAAGCAGCATTTAACTGATTTGCAAAGAATTTGTACTTGTGCACTCGCTGAAGGCTTAGCTACGAGGTGAAGTTGCGCTGATCCAATATCATCAAAAATCTGACCTTTTTTCTGTTTAATGTAACTCTGTCAGACTTTAAATGTGTGTACACTTGTGTGTTTTATGTAATAAGATTGCTTAAACAAAGCTTTGTTTTGTTTACGTTTCGCAACGTTCAGGGATATTGTTACAGTTGATATCAATAGTTCCGCTACATAACTGGTGAATTGAACTTTATCAAATACGTATGCGTAAATTAACGAGGTCTTTTATTTCTTTATCAAAATGCTGGTCATCCAACGTTAATAGCACTTCTTGTGAAAGAGCTATTGTTACCACTGAAGACATCCACTCTTAGTTAAGACAGATATTTTGTAATGTGTCAGCTTCATATAATATGGTACATTTTTTCTAAAGGATAGGGTCAATAGAGCTTATGAGATAAAATGTTATAGCAACGCTCTAGATAGATCAACAAATGCTCATGATTGCAACTTCCCTATCCTAAAATAAAAAACAACAAGTTTGTATTTGACTTGACAACCGAAGGTTCTGTACCTATGTACTTCAACCATCTTGGGAATCGATTGGCGATGAATATTGTCATATTTAAATTGCCATAGTTAAACTTAAAATACTTAAAGATATACTCTACATTAGCTTCCTGAGTCAGACAGACAGACGTACAACGAAATGATCATATAAGAGTTTTAATTCAAAAAACCCTAAAAACAAACACTTAAATAAAATATATTTAACTATAAGGACTTGTTCTTTTTGGATTTAACATCGCAAAATATTAGCATTTAGAACTATTAATTCTAATGCACTTGGGGAGGGAGAGGGTCTAAAACACTAGCGCGACCCTGCTTTCGAATAGGGTACGGTACCCAACACCATAATACGTTTCTCTCAATAAAAAGTATACTAAGATGTAGTGGACATCTAAGTGGAAAATATATGCGTTGTTATTGTGACACGTGTAAGAACTGTTTGTATTGTGACGTTTTAATATTAGACCTAACTGCTCTCGTTTGACAAATTTAAGGTGGGTACAGACTGTTGAAAACGCTCCAAACGAGCATTCACTACGAACCTCCCGCGTACGTCTGTTTCCGAAAGTTATTATTATTAGCTTTTCCAGGCGCTTTGATATTTTTTCCTTCAACTTTTCGCGACGGTACAAATTGAGAAGACTAACAATTTTGTTAGTGTATTTTTCTTATGTCATTGACATAAACTTTGCGATTGCCGACTACACATCTTGCTTAAGATTTTTTTATTAAAGTTTTGATTTTGCGGGTTTCATGTTACGTTTCACCGGTATGTACTCACCAATACACATGGTGCTGTACCGAGTGCACATACCTACGTAGGGTTGTACGTACTTCTAGTAACTAAATATAAGAAGAAACAGTGATATAAATGGGCAAAATATATTATTCGTACTTTTGATACTTACGTAATTTAATACTTTGATATTACGTACTTTTAATTCTGTATGTATTTTAATTACATACAGACTTACATATTATACTTTATCCTAGGTAGAGGCGTAATAGACACTCACATTTTATACAATAATTTATACAGTAATAGGGGACAAGCCTATAGGCTATAGGCTTGTCCCCTATTACTTAGTGTATAGCCTCAACCGGGCATATGTATTTCTATATAAACATACTTATATATATATTTCCAAATACAAACATATTCATGATGAAATAACTCGCGTATGACGCATTACACTTATTTCCTTTACAAAAATTTACTCCAGAAAAGTGGTCGTAATAGAAAAATATTTTTCATTTCATTTTGTTTAGTTTAATAATGACATTAAACAATTTGCCGATTTATTTTTTTATTTAATATGGTACTTTTTTGCACTAGAAGAAATTCAATGTACCTGTTTCTAAAACTCCTTTTTTTGTATAGTTTTTTGAAGTAGAAACATTCGACGATAGTAAGTAGACAAAATCTATTTGATTTGTTTTTTTCTTTAGTTCTTCTGCAGATTCAAGAAATCAGAAGAAATGGCCATGAAAGAGTGGTTACAGTGGTTACCACCGCCTCGGTCGCTACTGGCATTGCTGCTGGCGGTGGCTGGGTTCAGCGGACGCCTCTTTGCTTCACACTTTACGCACTCGCCAACGTTACTCGTTGATACCTGTCACTCACTGTGTCGACTGGTCGGTCTGATAACCACCTTATTATCTTACAAGGTTTGTAATCCAGTGCTGTTTATGTGAGCTTACTTTTTTTTTTTACGTGTGGAAACCCCCTCGGGCCGTCACCCCGCCGGGGTTTGCGGCAGGGTGGTGTGTCGGAATCAGACCGACTAAAACCACACGGTATGCCACTCTGTGCCTGTAATAGGAGGGATCCGGGAACTGCTGTTATTAAGACATCCGGACCCCTCCTAGCGCCTGCCCGCAACGGCGCGGGCATCACCTTCGGGTACAATCTCCATTTAGGCGACGTCCGGCACACGCAGACATCGCCTCTCGGCTGGCCGTTATGGCGGGTCGAGGGGAAAACAAAAGAAAATACAATAATTTGGCGTTCTTCAGTACGAACGGGCTGATGAAGGTGCCGGGCGAGAAGGACGTCTACGCAACACGTTCGGTTGGGCGAGAATTGAAGTCGTCGGCCGACTTTCAGTCCACGTGCTCTTCGCCTCGTTTGCTCTAGCCCTGGTTGTCAATGCTCTACAACTAGGCGTGCACTCCTCACATGGACAGCCCCCAAGATACCCCAAGGTCATTATTGGCAGCGCCGTCGTTGGGCTCCTTCTACACGCCATAAACTATATGCTTCTAGCAGGTAAGCTCCTCTAACTGTCCATACTTTCAATGAATTACTTATAAATGCACTTATTCGACAGAATGGTTTTATTATTATTTATAATGGTACCTAAAAAAACATTACTTGACTTTAATGTTACCTGCACTATGACAACTAATTAATGACTTATTATCCCATACTCGAAAGTACTTATTAGTTAGCAACTCTAAAATTTATTATTCTGAATAGAAGACTTACAGATCGTGGGCGAGATGGCAATTTTTTCGTTGCTTTTTATCGAGTTAGTGAGATTACTGGAGGCCAACGCTCATTGCGTGTGGCAGACGGCAATGCACACTTGTGACGATTGAGCTACGGGTGTCCACAGGTGGCGATAGTCACTTACCATCAGGTCATCCGTAGGCTCGCCCATATAGGAGGAATATAATATAAATATAGGAAGGAGACTGCACGTATGGCGTAGTGGTTTAAGCGGTCACCTCGCCACTTCCTACTGCACTGAGTGTTGTGGGTTCGATCCCCACATGGGACAACACTTTGTGTGATCCACAAATTGTTGTTCTGAGTCTGGGTGTCCTTTGTATCCGTTTTAAGTATGTTTGTAAAGTCCCCCGCGACACAGGATTTATTCCTAGTGCGGGAGATGTCTTTTTAAAAAAAATATTAAAAAAAAAATATGAAGAAACATAAAAAAGATGTTTAATGTAACTGAACTAAATTCATAACATGTAATGTAATTCATAACAGGAGTAGAACAAACAGCAGAATATCTTTTAGACTCACTCGTACCTGACGATCGACCGGAAAACGACACTCAGTGTGATGATCATCATCACCGACAGATCAGGCAGTGGGCCATCGAACCACCACTGTCTCCAATGTCTGATTTACCATCTTCAGACGAATTTCTCGGTATCATTAGATCCTTGCCGCTAAACAAGGCTTCGGGTGATGATAAAATATCTAACAAAATGATAAAAGAAGCTTGTAAACTTTCGGGTGACACGATTTTCACTGTCTTTAAACGTTGCATTGCTGAAGGAATATTTCCTCGTATATGGCGGTGCGGTAATATTCGTATAATACCAAAAAGTGGCGACAAGCCACCGGATGATCCTAAATCCTACCGACCAATCACATTGTTACCATCGTTAGGAAAGCTTTTAGAACGTCTTGTAGTGCCCCGGCTTCTGCCAGGTGGAGTCAAATTTCATGATAGACAATTTGGATTTAAGTTGGGTAAATCGACAACTGACGCTGTTATATCGGTTAGAAAGTTTGTCGCAGAGTCAAAATTTCAATACGTGCTGGCTATTTTCTTAGATATATCTGGCGCCTTCGACAACGCATGGTGGCCCATGCTGTTGCTGAAATTAAAATCACGGGGGTGTTTTAAAAATATTTATTCCCTTATCTCTTCGTACTTTTCACAAGGTACAACTAAACTAAGACTTGGTCATCATTCTGTGTCGAAGGCGCTTACAATGGGATGTCCTAAGGGATCGGTGCTAGGTCCATACTTGTGGAATATCGGCTTCGACGATTTTCTTACGATACCAATACCATCCGGATGTACTCTGAACGCGTATGCTGATGACGGCTTATTACTGGTGGAATCTGATACTAGGGCGGGGCTTGAGAGATTAGCCAATAGATGTTTGAACTTGATATCTCAATGGGGTGAACGTAATCGCTTAACTTTTGCACCCAACAAAACCTTCCAGTTACTTTTAAAAGGTAACCTCAAATCACCGCCGAGAATTAGATTTGACAATGTTACTGTAAAAAATAAAACCACAGTTTGTTATCTAGGATTAGTTTTAGAAAGAAACTTTTCATTTATCGAACATATTAAAATAGTTAATGAAAAGTCTAAAAAGAGTTTCTGTGCATTGACAAGGATATCAACTGCGACATGGGGTCTATCATTTAATACATTAAAGATCATATACGGAGCTACTTATTTAGGTTCTATGTGCTATGGTGCACCTGTATGGGCCGATAGGGCGACCGTAGGCGCTGTCCGTCGCAAACTGTTACAAGGCCAACGACTTGCACTGATATTTTTTGTGCAAGGCATATAGGACGGTTAGCACTGAGGCTTTGCCGGTGTTGGCAGGTGTCCTTCCGGTCGATCTCGAGGTGCAGAGACGTGCAGCCATGTACTATTCAAGACAAAACATGGAATGCGATTTCTTGGGCGCGCGGGATCGCGGTAAAATTACAAGATTGCTTCAACAGCAGTCCGATGTCTATAATGACCTCATAGACGAATGGCAGCAACGCTGGGACGAATCATCCAAGGGGCGCCATCTTTACCAATTTTTTCCATCTGTTCGCGAACGGTTGTCGAGGACATGGCTTGAGGTGGATCACTGTGTCGCTCAATTTCTTACGGGTCATGGTTACTTTAAGAGCAAGTTGTATTCATTTAAATTAGTCGAGTCACCATTGTGTCAATGCTCAACACCTAACTCTCATTATGAACAGTCTGCTCATCATATCCTCTGGGAATGTAGTCTTTGGTATAATGAACGTAATATAATGCTGAATAGCTTGCAGGTGACATCTGGGGCGGTATACTATGGGGATCTTGTGTCAACTAGGGTGAATTTCCGTGCGTTTAGGCGATTCTGCCATACATATTATAGAAATCAAATATAGCTCATGTAGGACCCGTAATATTTTGTGGCCGTGGTGCTTCCCTGTTTAAAAGGGTGTATGCCTATTTTACTTCATTTTGTCTCCCGCTTTGCTAAGGAGGGAAGTGGATTTACTGTATTTCCAACTCCTCCAATTTTCTTCTGATTAATTTCGTTGCGGGTTCCAAGACAGTTTAATTTCTTCCTGGGACTTCCCGAGTGTCATAACTCGGTGTGTTCGTGGGTCACTGCTGTGGATCCTGGTGTACAGGAGTTACAATGGTGGGCGTGTGGGTGGGATTAGTCCCATGTAATTTAGTTTAGTTTCGTGTAGATTTAAATATAAACGAAACTGCTGAAAGGCTAACTGTACTACTAAATGCAATGTATATAATTTATGATGTATATGGGTATCGTCATGATTTAATTGGTCAGTACCTATCTACTAAAGGCTCGAATGTATAATTTCATTTAAGACAAACACGCCTGTGTTTGTGTCTAGATCATACGTTGTTTTGTTACGTGACAATTGTTGTCATTATATTGCATAAACATTAATTAGACAAGAAGCCCTCCTAACACTAATATTGTTATAGAATTCATGTATTATCTCGTCCGTGATGCTAACAAACAATACAAAACGACTTGCTTAGTACCGAACCATGTTTAAGACAATACAATATATTTTATTCCAACGTTATCGAATTAACAGGTAGGTATCAAAATTTAAAAACTTATAAAAAAATATACTCTGTGTAAAATGTTCCAGGTGGCAAAAAAGTTTCGGTAATATATGCCTTCGAATCTATAGAACGAAGTTAAATCTCATTTTACCTATAGAATAATGTTCTGTCCCTATTAGTAGCGCAACTTATGTATCGGTCTACTTATGCGCCAAGTAGACCGATAATGTTATAGAGTACAAAACCATGAGAAATCACATTATCTCAATCGTAAAACCGCAGTTTATATATGAGTTTATCGATAGGCATGTCGCCGAAAAGATTCGGCTAATTGCTAATTCGCTCACATGACTAATTAAATGACTTGTGTACGTTACGTCGATTACCCGTGGTTTAATTACTTCATGATTTATAAGAACCTGTAACGACTTGGAACGACTGATATCTGCTTGTTTGATCTATTCCTTCTTACAGCGTGTAAATATTTGTTAAAGGGCGATTATAGGTCGACACTGGCAGACATGTTATACACAGGTTAACCATTTTATTTTGACAATGGTTGTTTTTTTTTATGTTTTGTTAGGGTGATCTTGTGTGTAGTGATAAATTATTATTTTTATTATTCGTATTAAAAAAACAATGGAAGATTTTGAATAATTGTGGATCAATTTTATGAAGATTTTGAAATTAGAATTCGAGGCACAATGTAAATCACGTTTTATGGTATTTTTAATTTGTGTTAAAATTCATCTTGTCCTTATTGTTAGGAAAAAAGAGATACTATACCTTGGTAATAATAACTTGGTTGGTCATTTAGAGGATTTGAACTTTCTAGCAATGGCTAATTCGACTATTGTTCACATTCCCTAATCTACCCGTAAAAGCAATATCTCTTTCCTATATGTAAACGCAATAGGTATACCTTCCCTTTTTATCTATTGTTGCTTTAAATACACTGCCCATTTTCTCATTAAATCCATAAAGTGCCCGATTGACGACAATATACCCGCTTACGTAAGCGGAACTAACGTTCTACTCATAGTTGTAGTTGTTTTAATAAGTCTCTGCCTAACCCATCGGGTGAATAGCCCTGAGTGTAGGTATGAGTCTCATAGTTCCTAGTAACAATTTGTCTAAATTCGTGAAAATGATCCAGCACCTACCAATATATTACAAATAGAATTAATGACCATACTTTACCGCAAGGCAAGAAACTTATAGTAGTGACGTGACGTATACGTCTCTGTTCGTAATATTAGTATTTCTGCATTATTTCAACAGCAGCAAACTACTGTCGGCGACGTTATCCGATAGCGAGTATATCGATTGATAATCATAAGTGAGAGGTACTCAATAGTCACATAAATGTAATCGAGATATTATAAGATATCAGTACCTCTATCACATTCAGGTGGTTTTGCAAACATGGCCGAATGGAAGATGTTAATTACAGCCTTGACCCAACGCGACATTTTAAACAATCAGTCTAAAACTAAACCCTTATAGATGTTATATAGGTTTCAAAAGCGGTCGTGGGATCGAACCTCTTTCGTTAACTGAAACTTCTTCTCAGTCAACGAAAGAGGTTCGATCAAGTTGAGATAAATATAAACATAAAATACTATTCCTTTGAAATACATAATTTATTAGTGACAGTTATAGTTTTCAAGTTAACTCAATCAGACATTACAAAGTCACAGTGCATTCGTGTATTCCTTACCAGAAGAACACTGCCCAAGTAATACTAATAACCAGCGTTCTTCTAAGGAAAAACTCTGTCTGTCTGCCTGTGTGTCCGTCTGTCTGCCTGTGTGTCCGTCTGTCTGTCAAGACCCTTTATCTCGAAAACGCGTTTAGATATGGAGTTGAAATTAAAACCATATACTTCGGTATGATGATTGATTTTTTCACAGCTTCAAGGGACTATAGCCTTGAAGCTGTGAAAAAATCAATCATCATAGAAATATAGTCTTTATTTAAAGTTCGTAATCAATCATCGAGGTACAATTTCACTTATAAATCACAATAATATAAGTAATTATAGGTTTTGGCAACTGAATTTCGGGAAAACCTAGGAAAAACAGCGTGACAAATTTGCACGAAACTCTCGGTGGGCAAGCCCGACTCGCACTTGTCCGAATTTTTTCAAACTAATATTGCTTTTATTTGCAGGCCGTGAGCTCAGCTACAGTCGTCGTCTAAGTGTCACAGAAGGAGGCGGAGTGGTATTGAAAACAGGATCCGGTGAACCAGTTCTTGCCCATGCACCTACTGATATTGCCAGTAAGTAGCTATCTGAAAACGATTCGTTTCATTCTCTTTATATTTATTATAGTAGAAATAAATAAATTCATCGTCGAAGAGTACCTATTATATATGATGTAGGGGTTTTCCATCTTGATTACAGTGATATGTCGGAATTAAATTGTCACAAGTAAGTCGATAGCTACAAAGCTAAGCTACGCTAAGAACAACTAGGCATTTTAATTCACCTTTTTTTTTTCGTGCGGAAATCCCCTCGCATACCACCTATCGGTGGCATGTCGGACTCGAACCGACTAAAACCGCACGCCGTCTCGGGTACTAATAGCCGGGGAACCAGGTGTACCCTAGAAAGGAAGTCCCTGGTGCCCCGACATACCTCGGGCCATCTACAGACGAGTAGACGACCCCCCCCCCGTGTGGGAACCCCATGTTCCCTCTGCTCCCTGGAAGCGAGCGCGCTTCGCAACGCGCTCGCCGCCACCCCAGCCTGCTTCTGCTAGGGTGACAGATGGCCTCACCTGTCACCCCCAGGCCTGCGCTTATGGAGGACGGAGGTCATTCTGCGACCTCCGGCGCCTGAGTCGCCTGCGGTACCTGGCCCGTTCCCGAGCCTGGCGGGCCGGGAGAATTCTAAACCTCTCCCGGTCCCGCTCCGCCGTCTCCTTCGCGAGCATAACTTGCTCGCAGAAGGAGACGGCAGAGTTCCACGCACTCTCGCACCGCACGATAGCCGCAATCAGGCTATCGAGCGAGAGAACTACCACTCCGATTTTAATTCCCCTAAGCAAGAGGTAGTGGTATAGTATAGAAGAAATGAGCTTGGATTCTCTTTATAATATTAATCACGTCTGCTTAGAAGAATAAGGATACCGTTAGTGTGACGGTCAATAGGAAGAACCCTAAGGTACCTAAAGTATAAAAAAAATATGAAATGTGTTGGTAGATTACAAACGTTCTGCCTCATGGCTTCGACAAAGAATTTTAATTTAAAATATTTGAATTCTCGTATAAATACATAACTTTATTTTATTGAACACGAAAGTTTAATTTTAGGGAATTGTTTCAAAACATATATATATATACATATATATATATATATATATATATAACTTACAGGCAGACAATTGCTTAGAACAATTGAAACTTAGTTTCCTAAAAGTTGTTCCTATTAGTCCCTATTGAAACAGATTGTAACCAAGTTGTTTCTATTTATAATTGTACATAGTAAAGTCACACAGAGTTAATTATTAACGCAGAATCGCATTAGCGTCACAGCTTCTCTTAAAGAATGAGAAAAGAATTGTTGCGCAAGATTTCCCACGAGTAGGTGTACTAAACTATGTCCAAACTCTATTCAAACAAACCCTAATACTATGTTATGCTAAATAACAAATGTATGATCCAGTTTGTTAATACAGGGTATAAAATGTACGTGAAATGTATTGTATTTAATAACTTACACGTCTTGATCTCCACGCGTTTTTCGCTGACTATGTGATACATTTATTGAAATAAATCTGAATAATATTAACAAATTAATAGGTAAGAACCACCTACACAAACAACAAACATTTAATTAATAAAATAATGCGTCACACAAACTCTAACCATTGTTCTTAAGACTTACGAAGTATATTTTTTTCGCATGACACACTTTTTTACGTTTATGAAACTAGAGATGAGTTTTTATGTTACAAATTAAAGGTTTTTTTTTATCAATAATATGCATTGTGCTTCATTCTATGATGGGCCTGTTTGAATAGTGGTTAGTGACTCTTAACTGTTAATTCGGAGGTCGTGGGTTCGATGGTTCGATCACCACCCGGAACAAATAATTGCGTGATGAGCAACGCTCATTTGGTCTGTGTATGGGTGTAATTTATTTATTATGTATGTATTTAGAAATATATAAGTATGTTTATCAGCTGTCTGGTTAACATTGCACAGGCACTGCCTAGTTTGGTATCGACAGACAGACAGACATGTGAGATCTATCTAGTTATAATTATTTTATTATTTTTAATTACGAGCGGTTCGACTTATATATCAATAGTTTTTCTTTTAACAACAAATAATAAATAAACACAAACCCCTTTTAATTATATGCCTGTTTGTATGTAGGTATGTTTAATAATGTGTCTTTCTACTTAAATCTAGAACTTTCATTACTATAAAATTATTCTAAAAACAGTCATAGATAAATAGTTTATGATTAAAATAGTACCTACATGCAAGCCGGCACGTGTAGTACGTAATCATTTAATCAAATTTGACGTATAAACTTATTCCTAGGTATAAACCATCAAGATAGCATATAAATTAGACGCCATCAGTTGGTATGTAAATATTAACACGTGTTGTTTATTAAAATAGAACCTTATGAGTACATATCAACACTATATCGGCATAGCGTGATACAATAATATCGTTCACCTAGTTCTACGACCTATTTTATTACTTCATCGGTAAGTGGTAGTGTTTGTATCGGAGTAAAACTTATCAATAGATATATAGACATATACATCCAAATTAGAATGACAAAATTAATAGTTTAGAAAGCGTAACTTAAATCCGTTGAGCCTCAAGTCGACTTTACGCTAGCTAATGTTGGGCAAATGAGTGAAGTTACGAATGTATCTAACTCCGTATTCATAAAACAAATACTCGACGAGAATAGTGCTTACAAAAGTGACTTAAATTAAAGGAGCTATGTTCAATAGTACGGTACTTACCTATCATAGATATATCAAGCTGACGGAGTAGCCTAGAATTGATACACATCATCATCACACCAATAGCCTTTAATAGTCCACTGCTGGACAGGACTGCCTCTGCTTAGAAAAGAGGTCTTGGCCTTCTATATCACCTGGCCAGACGGGTTGGTACAGGGTTTGTTTCAAGTTTTCCTTCTCCTAGCAGTGGGATGAATAATAACTTGAATAATGACTTCTGGTATAACCAATCAGAACCCAAAATCCGGTATAATTTCTTGTGTGTCATTATCACAGGTAGTTTATTCGTGATGGGCGCCGGTCTGACAGCGGAATGGGAGCCCGTAGCTGCTCGCATTGCCGATCCTGCACTCTCAGCCAGTGCTGCAATCGTTCTCGTCATATTCAACTTTCCTTTCTGTAAGTATTTAATCACTTAAAACAACATCAAGATAAATGGTGGAGATTGAGGAAGCTGTTACAGATCGGGTAAATGGTAGCTCGGTTTCGGTACTTAAAATTATGTAATAATCATGTCATTATATATTTGTTTATTGTGTTCAGTGATCAACAACCTTTTTATGACTCTTGCTCATAAACTCAACAATGCACTTACATTTCTAATAAAACCCACGAAGCCAGAACTGTGCCAATTTAAATGCAATCAAAAGAATTCTATGGAAAACAGAGATCCCCAGCATGAAATGTTCTGTTTCTCTTCTTTTTCCCCGTAAGTGACATCATAGCAAACCACCGTAAAATACTTTTGTATCTAAAACTGTAAGGCCAAAATCATTTAAATATCGTATTTATTGTAGAATACAATTTAAAGAAATATAGTACCTCTTTATACTATACCAAATGCAAAGAGAAAATCAGAATAGAGACAACTTAAAATAACTAGTAGTGTTATTTTTAGTTTAGTTGGTTTTTCGTTCAGTTTGCTTTCCAAACATATATTGCCATATCTTATCGCCAGCCACAAAACCTCAAATACTCCATATCAAAAAATTTACAATATTCATGACTTTATTGGTTTGATCCGATAACTTACAATGCGAACAACGACTGCAATAAAAATACCTAATAAAACACAAATACTGGTGTCGCCAACGAGTTTCAACAATGTGAAGGGATAGAGCAATAAATATTGTAAAGCAATACAGATTACAAAGCATCAATAATCCGCTATGATCACTTAATGAAGTGGAAAACAGCTGGTCTGAATGCAATGCAAGGCTTACGTAAAAGTGCCGTAATTTAAAGACCATCGACCAATTTTTTCATCTGTTCATAACTACGGTGCTCCCTTAGTCGTAGTATTGGTGAAATTGATGATAGAATTGATTGAAAATGTGTTTTCATATACAGTACGATCAGCTGGCTTAGTGCTACTTCAAACAGTTCCTGAAGGTTTAGGCGCCTGCGACTTACGTACTGCAGCTCTACGCGTTGCAGGTGTGCTGGCGATTCACGAACTCCATGTGTGGCAAATGCACAGGGACCGTGTTGTCGCTACCGCACACATCGTTTACCGATCCCACGAGGTACAATTACAGTAATAATAATAATTTATTGATACCAATACCAACACAATGATTATGAATTTGATTTTTCACATTTAACTATAGGTTATGATGAATTCAAGAAGTGGGTGTTCATAATCTATGACAATAACAATAATGTTAAATAAAAATTTGCCTCTTTAAAGGTTTTGTTTATACTTTACAAGGTGTAAAGAAGGTTTACGTAATCAACTTCTGTTTTGGTCGAACAAATAAAGAACTTCTTCAAAATCACTTGTTTTAAAGGGTCATCTAACTAGAAGAAAGTGTTAGCAATGTAATTAATACAAACTAGAAACTCACTGTTTTCTTAGTAAACAAAATAAAAATATATCAACAACCACCATCCACACCGTTATGTTTGATAACTTATTATAAAAGGCACGGGAATTAGTTCCCGATATTTCGGCACTGTTGCAAACGCCACGGAAAATCGAATTTCCGAAAATGGACATTGTAAATATCCCGTTTACACTAACTTATCAAGTGAAAATGACCACGGTAGTTTAAATCAATGCAAAGTATGTTATGTGCAAACAAACTTAGTGATATCTGACTGAAATATGTTTCCAGGATTACTTGAAGAGCTCCGGACTAGTTACCGACATATTTAAACGGCACGGCATAAGTCTAGTGACGTTGCAGCCTGAGTTCATGCTTACTTCTGCGTTAGGTAATAATGTGCATTACTATATCTAATTACATAGTATTTTTTTATAATTTCTTCTAACACTAGCTGTTCACCCAGAGTATAGATGTACCTAATCCATAACTATACTACTGTTTAATAAAATCCGATATTCAGCTATCAATATTTAGGTTGCGAATTCGTAGATTATCACACCCGACGCCTCCGTTTCATTTATACAACTAAGCTATCAACAGCGTTTCTAACGCCTCTAAACATTCACATAGAACTCATGTCATGACCCATTCATATTGATCCAAATTTCGATTATTTTTTAACATGTCCGAAAACATTTACCTAACTCTTTGGAGAACATATTTCTTAGTAGATTCTCGTATTGTAAAATCGGAATTCTCCATTAATTTTCAGATATTGTCCTGTAAAATTTATCATTGTAACTGATTGTCAAATTGAATTATTTTAGGTTAATAGAAAATACCCTGTATATTTGTATTTACCTGAAAAATGCCTTTGTAAGGCTTTTTAAAGTTTAAAAGTTTAACGGGACTGGCAACTAAGTTTTTGATATTAATTTCAAATTTATACTTTTACGTGTTCTTGAGAAAAGAGGTCTCAACAAATAGACGCACAAAAGAAAACCAACCATTATTATGGTAAATTGAACTAAAAATTATACCAATTTTAAGTCGAGACTTGGAAGTCTTGTATTATAAGCGCTATGTGCTCTATCAGTAAATTGTAACACTATAATAATAACAAATTAATATTATTTTTTAGGTACAGATGAGGATAAGAAAGCATTCATAGACTTCGCTAATTTGGGTTGTTCTTGTCCATGTGCCAAGGAGTGCATTGCACCGCGATGTTGCGAGCCGCCGAAAATACCTACCGTAACTCGTATATAGCCGTCTCAGATTTTATATAATGCCGAGTTTCAGGAATTATATCTTACAGTAACAATTTTGGCGTACACGACGTTATGATGTTTTAAAACAGCCACCTACTCTTGCCCATAATAGTAGTACTACCTTGTAAATAGTTCTAGTACTAAGCGATAGATTTAATATTTAGTAACCAATATAATTCCTCTAGAACTCATAGCGTAACGGTTGCCGTGACAAATAAACTGTGTCGCTTCTTTTCGCTCTATTCACAAATGAAGTTTTGGAATAGGACGGCCTATTCTACTTTTCATTTGTGAATAGAACAATTGCAAAACCATGAAATAACGTAATTTGCTCGGCCTTGTAAGCTTACATTGATAGTAAAAACAAATTGTCTATTAAGTAGTTCCCATTGTGCCAAAAGGTGAAATGATTAAGTGTTATATTAAGAATAGAACCAAAGAAGTTCGTTAGAGTGTTGCGGTGCGCGACGAAATTTCTAATCGTAGTAAATAACAGAGAGCCTACAACAGTGAAAGTGTAAAGAATAAAAACATGGTTTGCAAACTATTGTCATTCGAGTGCACTCGCTAGCTGTATCGTCGGCGCGGCGCCCGCTGACTCTTAAATGAACATTATTCAACGTAATAGCATAGGTTATTATTGAAACATAAATAGATATGGTTGTAGTTCTTACAGTCACAAAACAATCTTTTTTGCTAGCAGTGAAATTGTACTTGCCATTGACTCTTATTGATGATAGAGAAAACTCTAACAAATTACTTATAGTACCGACATATTTTTATTAAGATGTATATATTTTATTTGTATTGAGTGTAATAAGTTGTATTATAATATTATATAATATTACATACTTAATATATATTTGTTTGACGAAATTATTGTAAGGGACATTTAATTTTTTTTAATGTTTTAAGTTCAAATAGATATATTTATCGGTATTTTTTAAGACAGAGGTAGCGTACAAAGAGACTGTGATGTTCCTTTACAGTATTAAGTCTTCTAGGGAAAGTTAAGAATTATAGTATAGGTAACTACAGATACATTATTGTTATCACAATAAAGATGTGCAAATAATAGTTCGTAAGTGTTTTGTGTACAAAGTGTTGTTGACAAATTAAACTAATTATCTTTTAAATGGTATTATATTGTTGATAACAACAGATTTACTAATGATCTCCAATATTTCTGTACTTCTTTTGGAACAATAGATTAGACTCAACCGTTCAACAGCCCCCATACCAAAGTGTAAGTAAGGGAATACAACACAAGTAAACAGAAACATACACTGTGCAAAAGATAGTGTCTAAAGATATTTCATAAGTACATAGTAAACAAAGCACTAGGTACTTAGATGACTTTAAAGAAAAAAAAATGATAAAAAGAATAGTGATTTTCGTTTAATAATTATTTAAAATAAAGTGTATTAGTTGTAAATACAATCGTGCTGTATTATTTATGTTTTGATAGATTCTTTGGAACCATTGGGCTAATCGAAGATTTTGAACACGTATACATGCGAAAATCTTTTTTTTTCTTTAAACAGAACTCCCGAACCAGTAATATGTCCTGTATCGTGAAGGACTTTACAAACATGCATAAAACAGGCGCACAGAACACCTAGACTCAGAACAACAATTTATGGATCACGCAATATAGTCCCTCAGTAAAGAGCGACGAGGCCGCTTAAACCAATACGTCATCCGTGCAGTCAAATCCTTTTCGTGATTTCCTTGGCGTGACCACTTGTTGCTATTAACTTGTTAAAAGTAAGTCTTTATAAAATGTTCCAATTAGGCGAGGCACTTTTATCTTGTAGTCCCATAAGTACTCCCAAAAGTTTTAGGTAATCCGTCTCGCAAAAATTCTAACATCAATTAGCATTAAATGAGAAATATGTTTGAAGAAATTCCTATTTTTTTCTTATCTTATAGACTCTCACGTCTGTTCTTTTGTAAAAATTATATTCCCAAGATGATATTCTCATAACAAGTATTCGTAACCTGATGTCACTTCTCACAGCATAAATGCCAGTGAAATAAAACAAACTACTCGTATAATAGGATGTTTATTGGCTATAGCAATAATATTAAGAGAACTTACTATAGTCTACGTATACATATACGGTTAATAAAATACTTTATAGACATTTAGATATAGGTTTTAGTTATTACCAATTAACCTACCTACTGACGTAATACCCATCTACGTGGTTACGTCATAATCGAGATACTACAAACATACCATTTAGACAGTCTAGTACCACACAGACTCGAGGGTTATAATAGGATAATCGTACGTAATAAACGGAGTCTCTTCTGTGCCCAAATTATATAGTCGGTACGTTGCGGTACAGTACACTCGGTCCAGGTACAAAGAGTCGAAACAACTATTTTCCGGTCTACCTGTCTAGTTACAGCGAATAAAGATATCGATATTAGCATCAATTGCAATTTTGTTTCGCGAAACTATTTCCGGTCGGTTTTGTCTACGGCCATCTGCTTGCAAACCTCCGTAGAAAAGTATTTTTTTGCAGTGTAGTACTGCTACTGTTTCTTCATCCGAAACTGACCCGATTATTCATTACCCTAGCCACCTCGCCCTACCCCTTTCCTTTACCACAATTTACTTTAAAAAAAAACTTACTAAAAAAATAAAAATACTAATATCGATATATTTATTCGCTGTAACTAGACAGGTAGACCGGAAAATAGTTGTTTCGACTCTTTGTACCTGGACCTATGATGAGAAGGTGTTCTGGGAGATCAGAGATCAGAGGAGAGGGATCAGGAGATCAGAGGGCATCAACGGGCGTTTAACAATACTATTAAACCTTAACACATAATAATAAGTTAACATAAATAATTAGGAGAGCAAAATTTTGTTATCTAATTTACAGTCATGCTTCTTCATAGCTGCTCAAGATTAAATCTAAAGCCACTGTGTTCTAGATAATTAAACGAATATGAACTTCGCATTCTAATATTTTCGAACAATATTTTTTAGTAAATTAATCTTCATAATCATTCATATGCTGGACGACGTCAGTTGTATTTATTTTACGGCATTGGGACGGTTTGCAGGGGCGGCTCTTGATCAATCGCCGACAGTCCTTGCCCTCGCCGGCCACAGCATTCTGTTTATAAAACGCTAATTAACAATATGTATTAAACTTAGCGACGAAAGTCGATTTACATTTCTAAAACCAATCTTAGAGCTATATGTGTAAATACTATGACGTAAGGTATTGGTCATAAAACTGCTAAACCTACACTATACATATTCATTTTTATTGTTGAGTTATTTCACCCAAAGGAAGTTTAATGCTGAACATATTAGTCATCCCTACTCCTTTACTGTTGTAATTTTTTAAATAAGACTACAACACATAACATTATCAGAACAGATTAAAAGGTTATCTCAATGTTAAGAAAAGCTTATCAGGCGCTCGAATCAAACCGACTATTCGCACTCAAACTTACCAGAATAAGCCTATAGTTGAGCTTTATTGCGAACTCGCAGTCTCCCGTACATGCGGTCCACCCTAGCCAAGGTCCCACCTCGCAATTTTCTTCCACTAAAGATTTACACAAACTATTAGTCATTAAGTCATTAGCACATGCCACTTAAATTAGTGTTTGTTAGCTGTGACATCGCTGTATAATCCTGAAATTTGGAAACGTCAAAACCGTGGCAGACGGACCTAGTTCTGCGCAAAGCCAATGTCTGAACCGACTAGAGTTGAATCACATATAACACTAAAATATAAATCGTATAACTAACGGGTTATAGATACTTTATGCTTTAATTTCTTATTAAATGATGTTCAAGAATCCAAATAAAAGTGTTCTTCAGTTTATGAATTTGTGCCCCTTTTTTGTGCCTTATGAAAAAGTTAGTATCTAATTTAAACAAAACAATTAGCCAAAAAGTTAAAAGTTTCCGTATCCTTCCTCTTCCGACTTTCTCGCTAAAGCTACAACTGTCAAATTTGATCTATAATTTTGATTTTGTTAATACTATTATATGATTAATTTGTTTCTTTTGGTGTATAGTCAGATGTCCAATTATTACATAATAAACTATTTATACATATATGTATATTAAATGTTTACTGCTAAAGTCATATGTTATAATCTTAACAAGATATTGTTTTATGGTCATGAATTTAATGTTAATTGTGCTACCTAGCAATGCTACTAATTGAACTGTGCTTACCCTTTTAGGCATCAGAAGCGAGATGTTATGCAAGCATGTAAAAAAATACGATGAATACTATCTAATATGGACATATAACCTACGTATTGCTAGTACTAACCAACGTGGGGGTCCAATGATTGCAAGATCACTAGCACTTTCCCTTAAATACGTTTAAAAAAAAGTAACAGTTATTCTGCGTAAAATTGGATCAGATCCAGAAAATGTTGCTTCACTTTTGTTAATTAAACATTTATAAAATAGTGAATAGAAGCATCTCAGTGTTAAATAATATAAACAGCCCAAAAACTTCATCCTATTTTCTGTGTCTCGACTACGTACTAGAAAATATGATACCATGTTGAATTACAGATACATTAAAAGAAGCAAAACTTATGGACAAGCATATTAAGGCAATGATAAAGAAATTCTTTAATTATTTATTACAAAACAAGTATCGCTTTCTTAATCTGGTAAATACAAATTATTGCATGAACGAAAGTGAAAGTCAGTAACATTATTGATTATTTTTATTAGTGTTTAATGTAGTCTGAGCTGATCTCATTATAAAAAAACTATATGTGGATTTTAAATACGTTAAACAATTAGTGTCCAATGTTACCCCAAAGTCAATCTAATTGAGGATCACTCCTGTTGTTGTTTTTAAATTACAGGATTTCAACAGAATTTATATATATGTATGTTTCAATTACTTTAATGTATTAATTATTATGATTAAAATTAGCCAATGTTACCCAGAACACCATTTTAAATATAATTAATATCCCAGATACTCGTATAGCTATATCCCGTTACATAGTTATTAGTTATTTATTAGTGGTTCATACATAAATTTCTTAATATAACTATGACACAAGCAAAAGCTAGTAATTTAACTATCTTACCATGACGATCATTATATGGGACATACTCATATCTACGGTTCTAATGGCATTCGAGTCGCTCAGCGCACTTAGCCATTTGATTGGGACTCATAATTCTTAATTACAATTATATTCACGTATGTTACCTATTACATATGGAACCTTACAAATAAACCTTTTTAGTATGTCATCTCGCAAGCAAATGCTCTAATTAAAATAAATACTCATGTCGATTGTCGATTACTTTCATAGTAATAATTAGTCAGTTATTATTTTTTACCTATATTTTTTACGTTAGAGGGGGCAGACGAGCAGACGGATGCCCATGAACGTCTGCAACTCAGGAGTCACAAACGCGTTACCGGCATTTTAGAAAGGAGTACGCTCTTTTACATATAGAGAATGAATAAATAGATTTGTCTCAGACTCAAATTTATCATAAGAAATCTACCTCGACCTGACTACTATTGGGAATATAATATTATAAACATAAAATAATAAAAACTATAATAATGTAATTTGGCTATTGTTAAAGAGATACTTAAGTACGGCGTAACAGCTAACTACTCAGCTCTAGTAACCATTTCAACACCTTAGCTCTGTACTGTGACATAATATTTCCGACATGGAAAGGCGTGTATTATTTCCTAGTTTACATTACGTAATCTATGAGGTAAATGCATGGTACTTTACGACAAGCTTAGCGTACATTACTTTGTGTAAACGAATTTTACAATAACTTACCATATAGTGATGGGATATCATTTTGTATCACTTCATTGTCTTGGTGAGATGGAGTAGGCTTTAGCTTTTTTTCATTAAACTCGTTAAGTCTCGATTGAGTTGACTCGTTGAGTTTCAATTTAGTCTCTGCGAACAATATTTTGTTAATACAATAAACACACTATCTGTTGAGTAGAAGGTAAAGTGTGACTTGCAATCACTAAAAATAACGGACATGTACTACATACTTTACATATGTGTATAAGCTAAAATCAATAAAAGATGATTTAACATTACAATGAATACAAATTAAGATTAGTTGCATCCTGGCAACAACATACTTATTATTTATTGTATTTAAATGAAATGTTGTACACTCGTCAAAAATAAGTAATGCTAAAAAAGTCTTTTTTGTATAGGATAGTGGAGGTGTTATTGTATTATATCATGTAAAAGTGTTGTATATGTTCTTTTTATATCATGTAAAAGTGTCGGGAAATATCTATTTACAAAATAATTTTATTCATATATTGGCACAAAATAGTAAATAGAACTTCGTATGCTGCGAGCATGAATAAAACTAGAATACCGTTGTTAGTGGTCACGTTAACCAAGGTCCTGCAAGCTTGCAAGCAGTGGTCCCTGGTACGGAAATTGTTCCCGTTCCCGCCGCAGCCGCTAAAGCCGAAGGGCTCGCATACGCCCCGTGCCCATTCGTAGAACCAGCGCTCTTCATAGCCACGACAATGTCCCACTGACATAGGCAGTTTGCACACTTCTGTATGAATATAAAAAAAAAACACAATTTTTACTATAATTTACTTTCATGTTTAGATTTTTGCATTGTATAGATCTAGCGTTATTTTAATTAAGTCTAAAGCCCTCGTTTCTCTTACAAAAGTATGAGGCAACGAGATTAATGAATATGTGCTGCAAGAAAAATTAAACCATGAAAATGAATATCATTACCATCCCGCGTTTTTTGACAAACTGAAGTTGTTAAAAAAATAATTAAACATACCAGAATCGGATACAAAATAGAAGCAATTCTATATTATAGCATCGTTTACCATGTGACACGGTGGTGTTTATACAGCTGATATCCTCTCCGTCACATAACGCCTCTTGCTGCGTCAGCGTGAACTGACACCGCTCCATGTGCTCCTGAACGGCACTCTCTACAGCCGTGTCATCATGCGTCATATTTTCTATTGGATACTCCTATAATTGATCCATTGTCAGTTGTATAATAAGTACTAAAGTAAACTACATATTTGAAACAAGTATTAAAGTAAACCAAAAAAATCCTTTATATTAACGATCTGACTGTGACTAAAATCGCAATGTGTACTAATATTTTGAAGCTGAAGAATTTGTTTGTTTGGTTGAACGCGCTAATCTCACGAACCAGGTCCAATTTCAAAAATTCTTTCAGTGTTAGTTAGCCCATTTATCGAGGAAGGCTATATAATATTAAGCTACGCTACTACGAAATTATTCTTTTTCAGAGCCTCCGTTGTGTACGCTACGTTAACGGTTAAAGTTTCGCAAAAAAATGAATTACAACTTTGTTCCCCTTTAAAAGTTCTTAAAAGAGAGTCCGCAACAGCATATGTCTATCTTTTAAGGTTGGCTCACTATAACCTTTTTTATGGTAAACAAAGTTGTTTTTATAAACATAATATCAATCCTTATCCAAATAAATACAATATTCATAAAATTGCACTTTACATTTTTTTTATTTTAATAATTATCTTAGGAGATATAGATAGTTTTAAAATAACTCCCAGCAAAATATTGATCAAGGACCACAGGAACTACTGGTTCGAATTGAACAAATCTTTTAGTGGTTGATAGTCCATTTATCGAGAAAGACTATAGGCTAACTAACAAGAGCCGAGCATCAATGATAAATGTTGCAAAAACGAAAAAAAGAGAGAGACTCCTTTTGAGAGACGCGGACGAAGTTGCGCGGGTCAGCTGTTTTTTTATAAACAGACTGAAAAAGCTATTTTACTCGTATACAAGAGAATAAGTGAGTCATCTTATCCCTAATGATTTCTTAAAATAGTATATAATTATTTAATGTGGTTGCAAACTCTAACGAAGCAGCAGTGAGCATAAAATCTATATCTTTACATACGATATATATCTAAACATAGAATACAATATACATCTCAACTCACAATGGCTTGGAACTGAGCAAATCTTCGATTCCACTGCGCCAATAGCCTTCTCGACATTTCTCGTTGCACTTTATCGTCCTGCGCGATGTACAATCGAGTACGTAGGCGATGCCCACGCCCACATTTCGCCGAACACGGTGACCAACTACCCCATGACGTCACACGGCAATCACCTCGTGTTATATCCTTTAACAGTAAAATGTTCAATAGAAATTTTTCATACAACACAATTTTTGTAATGATATTACAACAAGAAACTTACGACGAAAAACCAATCAAAATTTGTTGCATTGTTAGTTCGGTTTCCAGCTGGTCTGAAAAGAAGAATAGTATAAAATCACTTACGCAATTTCAAAGATAATAGTCAGAATTTGCTTCCGTGACCACCGTCACCAAACGGTTGCATAGGCTATCTTAACGATTCCATTTCTTTACCATTTCGAAATGGTGGTTTTAGATATTCCTGTTACGTTTAAAAAATTTAACATTTTTAAATAATAACAATAATATGAGGTATATTATTGTTGTTATTAACATTTTAAAATACAAAACATCTCACACACTGCCGTCTGATCCCAAACTAGTCAAAGCCTGTGCTATGACCGCTGGGAAAAATCACACTTCGATGATTTTAACTTCGTAACACACAAACAGAAAGAAATCTCACTTCTCACAGGGTCCAATATCGCACGGCATGGCTTGGCTGAGTATTGTCCTAGCACGGTATCCAACATGGCATCGTTTGTAAGCCTTATCTGCTACGTAGTGTCGTGTTCTTGAGCGCACTCCGCAGCCTTCACATGGCGACCATTGAGACCATGCGGACACTGCACACGGACCAGACGATTCCGCTGGATCTGGTTCGTATTCTGATGGAGCTCTAGTTTAACATATAAAAATTAACACACTATAAAATATGACAGACTATGAGAAGTTAACAGACTCTCCGGTTAACTAAAGAAGAAGAAAAGGAAGAAAAGATTTATTTTTATTAATACACATATCGATAGTAGAAGCATTACAGTGGCGATTGAATGAAATTAGTATTGTGACAATGATAGGCAAAATAATGTCTGTATATGTCTAATATTTCTCTGCCGCTGCTGTAAGAAACAAAGTGGTAATAATTAGAATATGAATTCGGACATACGTTCATGTAATATGTAAAATCCACGTATTTAAAATACAAGACACAAGAACAAGAATTTAATAAGGCCTTCAAAATATGCTTTGTACCTACAATGCATCCTCGGGCCATGACACCTTTTGTAATCGGTGAGCGCTACCCTGCATGCCTCCGCGTAAGCTCTGGCGGGCCACACGTAATGCCTTTGCCGAGTTGCGCGTCCAGGTCCACACGATACACTGCAAGGTCCCCAAGGACCCCACGACTCAGTGATGCAAGCGCCACCGCCTCCTGCATGAGTAGCTCCTCCATGAAATTTAGGCACTCCGTCTGCGCCTTCACCTTCTAAGTGAAATAAAATGAAATAAAAATCATAATCGTTATTTGCATTTACCATCAGAAAATTGCAAACTCTACCTTGGCATGTTTACGTCGATAAACTGTCTGAAGTCAGCCATCAAATAAGTAAAATCCACAGTCTTGATCAGAATCATCAGAATCAGAATCATATTTATTTGCAAAAATATTGTGACAAATGGTGTTACAATGGGTAGTAGAAGATACAAATATTTTTTACCAGAATAGTGGCATGCAAAAACATTAAATAAAATTAAAATATTTATGTCAAGCAGAGTAAAAAAAAGAGAAGAGACTCAAGAGAAACCTTTTCAATCTACTCTTAAACCGGCCTCTTAATGATATAGAAGTAGGTGAGTTAAATCACATTATAATATTTGTTTACATAGTTCGTCAGTTAGTTAAAATTAATTAGTTAGTGAAGTGAAACGTGAAAAGCATGGTAAAAAGGGGTTTAATTAAAATTACCTGATGTATTACCAGCGGCATCACAACTCTTCTCGTACAGCCGCAGACGAGTCAACCTCAATCGTGCAAAAGGTCGCATTTCACCTGCAGAGCTGTAGAACGGGGAGCGAACGTCTCGAGGCCAGTCTGGCCGCAGAGCGCGAACCGGAGCCGAAGGCAATGTTGGAGTACGACGGGACTGACAGATTAAAGTCGAAATTAGAATGCTATTCAGGATATAAAATTTAATATATTCACTGAGACCGTGATCCCCGCTATATCTATTTAACTAATATTTGCTAATACATATTCCTAATATGCACTCTGTTTTAAAAACATCAATTCAGAGAGGCAAGTGCGAGAGAAAAATAGTAATAATACATACAAGAAAATAACATGACTTACCATGTAACTGATACCATTATCCGTTCCAGCATCATATGGATACAGTGGAACTGTTGCAGATGAGCTCCAAGTACAATTAACATTACATAGTTCCAAGGCTGAAACTCCAACGAACCAATCAGGGGATGGTGCTAATTTGGACGCTAAAGAAATCAGATGATGTTTCGCGTCAACCCGGAATACAGCAAAAGTGTTAGGTGTACCAACTCCACCGATTTGCTGCCAGGATATACCTCGAGTTTTGATGATTGTTCTGATGTGATCACTCTGTGGATTTTTTAAATATTCTTTATACGATCTTCTCCATATACTCTATGGAGAATATTTACCAAACATTTCTACCTCAGACTTGAGTTCTTTCTCTAGAGCAGTAGTAGACCCATCATCGACAAGACGCCTCAGACCAGTACTAGCGACGCGTCCTTCTTGCCACACGCGAAACTGCGCAGTGTGCGATGCACCAATAACATCACCAAAATGTGCGCGCGCGCTTTCTGGCGGAAATTCCCGTGGGTGCGTATTTCGTGACCATAGGCTCTCAAATGTCACCTAAAGTAATAATACAAAACATTTCAAAATAGGATTAGCAATATAATGTGAATGAGATGACTGTGAGTTTGTGCTTGTTTGTTTAACTTTCAAACCTTAGCTGCGCAACCGATCATCTTTCATCACAAAAAAATATTCTTCGCAAGGGATAGCAAAATAACTTAACTTCGAGCGAAGTCGTAGTTGGTGCGTAATAAATTTGTAGCTCCTATTGTCTATAATATCCAGCTTGTAATAGTTATGTGTCTTAGAGCATACAATATCAGAAAGAAAGAAAAGCAATAATAGAGCAAAAAAAAATTCTGTTTATAATAAAAAAAAGTTTATAATAAAAAGGAAAAATTATTGACTTATGTCGGTTAACTGTAAAACTACGGCAATGTCAGAAAAGGGACACTGGCATAAAAAACGATTGCGAACTTAGTCATGCTTACTTCGTACTTGGCTTCGTCACATGCACAACAAGGTTCCACAATAGGTGACAATTTTGCAAACTTGGAAGATGCGGCCGGCGCCGCACAAAGCTCGCGTACTAACACGGACCAGCCTCCGCTAGTTCCACCACCAGCGAGAGGAACTGGGCCAGCCTTCGCACATATACGAATGCAAAGGTCTTTAGTATCAACTGGTGCACCCCATATAACCTGGATGAGAAGAAATTACGATAGAGTTTTATAGAAAGAAGAAGGTTGATTATAAACATTTCTTTCCTCTTACTTGCTTTACCAGAGAGCCCCAACTTAATTTAACCTCAGGTCAGTGCTCATAAAGGCCCAAAAATGGAGAGTACTTGTCCCTTTAGCCAAGTACAGAGCCGTCAGAAACACGCACTTTAGCTTGGAACATGTCTAAAACCATGATCTCCAGCGAAAGCTTTGCCACACCGATAGCCGTACTGACGTTAAGATCAACTGATGAAAACATGAACATAGATACTGTACTCCAATAGGATGTGAAGACCTGTTATTCAACCTGAGACTGATGTCTATCACGTATATAATCGGCGATAATCACCAATCAATAGTTTCAAAATGGTTTCATATGAGAATTAAAAAATGAAATAGTGTCTGTTTTATTCATAGTTATATAATTATGTAAAGGTACCTGAACTTCAGTTTTAGGATGAGAAGTAGCATTATCCACGGCAGGTGAACATTGCTCATGGATTTTAGCCTGTGCGTCATATGCTTGAAATGAACCAAGAGATGTATTTTCAGCCTCGATGGGTTGGTTGTTTATATTTTCTCCCTTGGCAGTGTCGCTGTAAACCTCAACCCATATCGTGAAGCCTATGAATGGCGTAGGGCCCTGCCCGCTATCTACTCCTTGAAGTGTTACTGAAATTGAAAACCATCATTAATAATATTGATTTGGAAAAACGTACGTAACAATAAATAACTCACTTCACGACTAAATTGCAAACTGCCTGAACAGATGCATGAAATGTGTTTTTAAAATATCTCAAAAAAGGAATGAATAAAACATATAATTTGTCACCCGAAGATTTTAGAATTGATTCTTCATTTGTTCTGTGTTTTACAATGTCTCTCTATACTTTTGTCACTATTTTGTTAACAAGATGTTAAAGGAAGTACTTTAAAGAATCAATCGAAATTTTAGCAAATACGTACATAATTATGTCCAGTACTAATCAAATTGTACCAAGAGTGCTCGGTTTAGTGTGGCTGTGCATAGGCGATAGCTAGGATGGCGTAAATAGGTCGGATGAACAGGATTTTTGTATGGACTATACATTACATATTATCACAAACCTGTATAAAGTTCTCCGGACAGAAAGAACTCGGGTTCACCAGCGAGGCCAAGTCGATAGTGCGAGTCAATGGGCTGCGCGTGCGGCGGCGCTTTTTCACACTGTGGCTCGCCTAACGTCAAAGTCCACAACGCGACTGCCGCGAAAACACTCGTCCTGTCCGATAATTTACTTATTAGCACCACTTAGTAAAACTGCCATAGGTAAAGGGTCCAGTAATAATACAGGCAGAGATCACAAGTTATTATTAGAATATTCATCATATCTGAAAATGGAGACTCATACGTAAACCCCTGGTGAAAATAAAATTTTACCAGGTGTGGTATGAGATGAGGCATGAGACTGAATTTTAAAATTGTCACGCATACTCTGTACAGGTATAATACACTTGTCTACTATCCTATTTTATAGTACTATGTTTTTGTGTCCTGGATCTTGTTTCTGTCTTTTTAGCTCATTTAATATCAAGGATGTCTTTTTTTTAATTTAATTTTTGCCCTTTTTTATTCAATTTCCACATTGTATATATGTATATTTATTAAAAATGATTTAATCCGAAGTGCTTATATTATACTGAATAGGACTGGTGAGTAAATAAATCCGTTTTATTTAAAAAGTCTAGAAAACCTTATTCTGTTCTTAACAAATCTGGTTTTTTTTTACACTTGGCCTATTTTTTATGGTTTTAGATAAAATAAATATACTTAATGAATCCAGTCCAGTCAGGTACAGCAACATTTTTAAGCTTGAAGCATTACGTACCTGTGACTTCTTTCTACGAGTATATTTCGTTTTTAAGGGTGAAATAACTTTACAAATTGGATTTATTTTACTTGTACACAGTTTTTGCTTACCCACACAACATTTAAACAACAACCTGTAAACATTTCTTTGGTATGGTATTTCTTTTAATGAGTTATCATTAACACTAATTAAATATAATTACAAGTACAATTTAATATTTAAATTGTATATTATGTATGTACTTATCTGAGTAAGTAAGCTGTGACATTTATTAAAACGGGTTTTATAAGTATACCTACACGGTTTTAGCAAAAGTAAATATTTCGACAAAATCGATAGCGACAAATTAAAATGCATCAAACGCATTCACCATATAAATGAAAACCGATAGCTTTAATCTGGATTTTGTAATAACAAAGAGAGTTCAACAACCTTAGGTTTTGTCAATCAATCCACAAAATATTTAAAGACAATAATTTTTTTGATTAAAATAGAATAGATATACAAAATTATGTAAAAGACATAGTGAGTATACCTACACTGATTTCATATTCAATCGCGATTTGTAAGCACACAACGCAGCGAGCGCGACGTCCGCCCGCCTTACATTCCCGCCCTACAAAGGCTAACTGAATCCGCGCCGGTAGTCATGGCTGCCAATACGACCTTTCGCTTCCACCTAGCTTTTCTTGTTCGCTGTGTGTAGTACATTGCTCTATAATTGGTGGTAATTGATTTTCAGCGCCCCTATTCTTGCTCACGGAGTCGTTACATACACTGGGTAGCGCGGAGCTGAGATTTAGTGTTTAGAACTAATTACTTTTGAAAAAGTTTTTGTGATGTAATTACGATAGAATAACATTATAATTGATATGGATGAAACTCTTATTGCGTTACATATTATTCAACTCTATAATGTCATATTAGAATATATTAGAATGGCTTTAAAGATTTAGCTAATAGCACTTAAGAAATAAGTGTATTAATAATTAATTCCTCATTACAGCTGATTTGAGTTAAAAGCCAATTTTCAGTCTACAGAAGATAGGAATTCGGCAGCACTGGTAGTATAGTGCTATTTTTAAATAAATAGGATTGAGATTCATCGTGTGCACAGCAAAAATGACAACACATTTTCAAAAATACTTAGGTATGTTAAAAATTATATTAATTACGAGTCTATAACGGACGACACTGCACTAACAATAGAAAGTATTAGTTACTAGTTATTATATATATAGTATAATTACACCTAAATCTTAATAGCTGATAAACTCCATAGGCGTCAAGACAAACTAGTATCTTAAAGAGCCTAGAGCCTAGTGAGACCTAAAAAGAAAATTGACAGTCACCATGTAAACATCGTCAAGCTTACAACTGTCTTTCGACAGAACCGAAGAATTAATAGTAAAACAAACACAGTAGGTAAAGATGTGTAATAAGATTTAGAAAACAAGAACTTGGCCTCGGGAATAGGTTATAATAGATCTCAGAAACTATCCCTTAATCATCTTAATTTCATATGCAATTAAAATTTTATAGCATATTCTGATCGAAAGGTGAAGAAGTCGTCCGCAGATGCGGATTAAGTATATGACGATTTTCGTAATACAGATGACACCGCCCTATATGTAACAAGCATCAGACAAAATCGAATTAATCGAATTAATTTGTTTCAGTCTAAGTTTAAAAGATGGTGAATGTCGATCAAGCTGATAGTACCTCGATGCGCAACTTTCATTCGTGAATCTATTTTAGAGCACTAGGTAATTTCTAAGAGACAAGTTTATTCACTGGCTTCAATATTGGGAATAAATAAGGAAAAAATATATTCCAAAACACAATTTTTAACTTGCTTTTCATTTATTATTTTGTCGGGCTAGCAGGTTTCATTGTATGCCTGTCGCATCACCCCAAAATGGATGAGGTGCATCTTTTGGCAACATTAGAGCCCCTTAAAGTAGAATAGCACAATTTGAGAATATAGAGTTAATAAATTTCGAAATATCTTTTAGCCTTCCACAGGATAAAACAAACGTGTGCGTCTCGGGACGCCCGACAGAAGTGATAACTTAAACTAATCTATGTTGAACTATTTAGTTTTGAAATTGTTTAACTTTAGAAAAGCTTAGGTTATTACTTAAATTTTATGTATATTAATATGATAATGTAAGGAAATGTTAATAAGTTAACTTGTTAAGTTTGTATTGATAAATCGTGTTTTATTATAAAACTTTCGTTAGGAGATTCTGTAATGTTCCGAGGGTCATCTTCTGCATGTTTCATCATATTTTTATAATCACTTTCAAAAACGATGATAGTTTTAGGTTATATGCTCGGTGTCAACAGTATATGTCTATCGCACACCAAACACTGAGTAGAGAGAGGGGGAAGCGTCTGTCCGAAATACGGCTACGCTGTGGGTTAGAGTGAGAGAGGGGGAGCTTGCCTACCGCTGCCGTTTACGTGAGAGAAAGGGAAGCCAGACAGACTGACGCCGTAACGCGTTACGTAACGAAGCGGTTTACCCTCCCATAAGAAGTTATCACTTCAATTGTAGTACTTGTTTGTAGTGTTGTTGTAATTGTATGTGGTATTAACAACAAGAGATTGAGTCGCCTTACAATTTAAAAGGTAGCAGTCTAGCACTGGGACAAAGCCGTTTAAAATTTTGCCATCGATAAGGTAAGAAGGAGAATTCTAGCTATCTATACTATAATAATTATATTTTTTTTATAAAAAAAGACAACATGTACATGCACGGACACAAGGACCACCCAGACTCAGAACAACAATTTGTGGATCACAAAAAGTGTCGTCCCATGTGGGAATCGAACCCCTCAACACTTAACGTAGTAGTGAGCGGCGTGGCGACCGCTTAAACCACTACACCATCCGTGCAGTCAATAATATAATGTAATATTCTAAAGCTGAAGAGTTTATTTGTTTGTTTGGTTCTACGCGCTCAGGAACTACTGATTCGAAGTAAAAAAAATGTTTTAGTGTTGGATAGTCCATTTATCGAGGAAGGCTCTTTAACATTACGCTACGACCAATAAGAGCCGAGCTTTAATGTTGCAAAAACTTTTGAGAGAAGCAGACGAAGTTGCGCGGGTGAGCTAGTATTCTCGCGAGAGCCTAGCGAACGTATATAATCACCGATAGTTGCAGTGGCATTATTGAAGTAAAACTTCTTTACGCTTGACTTGGGGAGTAAGCTGGCGAATGACGTGAGCGTGACGAGGGCGTTATGAAAAGTGTGATCGGGTGAGCCGAACGAGGCGTGAGAGTGAGATATAAGTTAGTGAAGATAGAGAGAGAGAGAGTTACGTTTCGTATATTACTGTAAGGGCAAGAGAGAGAGGTACGAGCACACATTTTCTTTCTCGCTTTCTCTCATAGCCAAGAAGTTTTACTTCAGCCGTGTGTTCTAAAGCACACTCGTTTTATTTTCCACATTACAGTTATTAATGAAAATGTATACTTACCCATTTCTTTGTTTTTTGTACTTCTTAGCGTGATTCGTATTTTTTGCTAGACATCCCTGGTATTGGCGCGAAACGACTGATAACAGAATTGTGCTCACAACTGCATTAAAGCAGTTTAGTTGGTGCTATTTTTGCAAAATAATCAAACATATTGTAATATATGGTCGAGCCTGGTAGAAAATTTTAGCACGTAATCAGATAAAGGGCTCCGTAGAAGTCAGTAGGCAAGTGGTTAAGTGTGATACGTAGGAGCAAAATATGGTTAAATGCAAGGTATAAGTATATTACTATAAGTTGGTTGGGTATGTTTGTTATAGGCTCCATGAACGAATATTATGAAAGGGAAAAATAATATATTCGGACATCTGACACACAACGCCATCTAGTTTCAAACTAAAGCTAGATGAACTGATAGAATACTTTTTTGTAAATAAAAACAAAACAGTAATATCTAATTAATTTTAATTGAATTATTAAGTAAATAAATATGTATCAAATATTAATATAGCATTAATAAATTATAACATAATATTACATTAGAGTTCGAAGACTTCCTTAACCTATGATATTAAAAAGTTTGACACCTACTAAATACTAAGAAAATTATCTAACATTTCTTTACTACCCAAACTTTTATACTGCTTAACTTGACTTTGGTCTTCTCCAGGATTCCAATACAGTTTAGTTGACCAGGTATAGTAAGCACTGATTCAAAAAAGGACAGGCCCGTTGACGCTAAAAACAGACGCCATCGACTGAGCCAAACAATAAGTTCTTTAAAACACTCTGGTCGGGTAGTTTACAAACGTTTAACCTTCCTACGAATACATCCCATGAATATCAAACAGATGCTAAACTATAAACAAATCACCTATGATAGAAAATCTAGAAAATAACCATATACAAAATCAACGAGTAATCGTTTGAACAATATTTAAAAATTAAACTAGATTGCACTTAATATATTAATTAAACACTTTGGTGATACATTTACATATAATAGGTACTTTTTTTTTAATGGCACAAGAACTTGTTGCTTAGGCCGCACCATTCATTATTCAACCATTCTTACATTAACTTAGTGAAAATTAAAAGTTACAATTTTAAATAAATATACGTCGACTATACTTAAAGTAAAAGGAGCATTCCCGGCAACTACTTTAAATATTACACACATACTTGAAGAAACGCGCTGAGAAACATAACTAAAACGTACTTATCAGAAATACATGTAGTCTTGGGTTTAGCAACCATCCCTTTATAGTACCTCAAATCCTTTATATATATTTTACCATAATACCTGCAGATTTCAAATAAGCTGGCCTAATGGAAATATATACCCAAGCTGGGTAAAAGAAGAACTTAAGAGAGAGACAGAGAGGTCATGCTAAAACAGTTATACCGGATTCGGGTAATTTTAATTTAACGGAGACACACTACTGGCCTCTGTTAATGTTGCCATGGTAAAACAAAGAACTAACCGAAAAAAACAAATAACGTGGCAATCTTTCTACTACAGGATTCTGCTAACATATTGAAATCTATCAGACATCTTATAGAATTCTATTCTATTACAGAAATCTATCAGATATCTCAATTTTGGAATATACCACTTACATTTCTAGTTTTCAATATATATAAGTATAAGCATCGTCAGTATTTGTAGTTAATTAACATAGAAGATGTAAATTTAATTCCAAACTCTCTACTAAGACATGCACTATCGCTAAGTCGTCTACAGATTTCAAAGTTAAGGGCAAATGTTTATATACTCCAATTTACGCAAGAACATTTTTAAAATGTTTACGTGTGAGTATTATTTAAGAATCAATTTTCTACATAAAATAGATTTATTCATAAAAGAGATTGATCACAAATGGAGGATGAGCATCAGTTGTACCGCGACTTAGAATAGGTAACTATTCTAGACGTCAAGGCAATGTTAAACAAGCAAGGCTCACCCTTTTTCGTGATATAGAAAATTAATAAAAACCCCGACATTAAATGGCCATTTAAGACTGCGGCCTATTGGGAGGATGGTCTCTCAACTCTAAAACGTGATCCACGGCTTGCGGACGACCGTCCGGGCCGATGCGTGCTGGCTTCACCACTCCTTCGGACACCATCTTGTCGAATAAATTCACCAGCTTCATTGCCTCGTACTCTTTCTGTAAACAATAAATACTTATAGGTATTCACGTTAAAATTGGAAGTCATACGGAATACGGAGCCGGTTTTTGAACATTGTTCAATTTAAATAGCTGGTGACGGACTGACTGGTTCACTGAATTCTCCATTCACACTTTACGTGTAGGGGACGTACGTTAAAAATTATTTTAATATTTTATTTTATAAATTTACTAGCGATCCGCTCCGGCTTCGCACGGGTGCACTGTAGATACTACTATGATGTGTATAGTTATAATTGGACTTCAGATTTGAAATTGTACGCTGTTACTTGTTACTGTGTGAGGCATGATCTGTTGTCTGTAACTGTACCAATTAAGTAAAAATAAAATAAATACTACTAATGTGGTGTCAGTGTGGAGTAATTAATTTTACTATTATTATGATAGGACTATACTACAGGACATCTTTAAATGCAATATTTATAGGCCCGCTCCGATCTTGCCCGCCGCTGCCGCCCGGGACAGACCTACGGCTCGACGGTCGTTCAGCCTCCGCATTTTTAACCTCCAATATCTTGTAAAAAAATTAATTTAATGATATGCGGTAAAGAGCTATTTTAATCTACATTATTGTTGCATTGTTTGTTTATAATAGCTAATAGCTAGTAAATAACCCATAATTTTTATGTAACATTTAAAAGATAAAAATGATTACTGTGTGTTATCCTTAGGCGATAGAAATATATCGTCTATATCGTACAAACAGAAAAAAGAACATAATCCTATACAAGAATATTTTTACGTTCTGTTGCGGTTTAACTCGCTTGGTACAAATATATTATACTCGTATGAAGTTAAACAAAACGTAACAATGGCCAAAGGCGGGACTAACTGTTTTTGGGCCACTACAATAATCGAATACTTTACAAAACCAAGATAGTTGGTGCAGTAGTAGAGTATGCGACTGCTGTGCTGAGGTCTCGGGTTCGATTCCCGGGGCGGTACAAATGTTTGCATGATCTGCAAATATTTGTTTCGGACTTTGGGAGTTTTCTATATACAACATGTATGTATTTACAAAAAAAAAATAGAAGTATTCTATTAGTCAATCTAGCTTTCATAGTACAAGCTCTGCTTAGTTTAAAACTAGATGGCGATGTGTGTGAAGAAAAGAACGTACGAAAAGAGACTCACGAAAACATTCTGTCGACAAAATTTTTAGATTTGTAACCTTCAAATTCAGCTTCCTCCTACTACGACACGGCTTAACTTCGATTTATTACGTGGAGCGACTGCCATCAGAGCTCCACAACCCAAGTACTTGGCGATATCGAAGTTCTGTAGATAGACTGTTGTCAGACTTTTTAGCACTTCAACTACCCGTAACGATTGCCACAGATGTTCGTATGGCAACCAGAGCCAACGGGTTAACATGCTCTCCACTCATACCACTTAACCACGAGCCCCTCTTGTTTATGACCTTCAAATTCTGTAGGAAAATTCTAACACTAAAACCATTTAAACATTTAATTTAGTAACGTTACAGTACCTGTTCTTCAGTCATGCCTTCAAAGGGGTTCAGTCTCGGAGGCCTGGTGCAACCGACTACGGGATCAATATGTGGCTGGGCCTCTAGATACTCTTCGGTGTCCGAGTCGTCACTACTGGATGAGTATTGCGCGCCGCGCCCTCCGCTCAACAAACCCTTCTGAGCTAGGTGCCCCGCTGCGTTGCCGAAACCCGTGTATTTCACCATGCGACCCACTGGAAGTTGTTTGTTATGAGAATTTTGCAAGAAATCTGTATGTTTATGAATAAAGCGATCATATATACTATTGTGCTTACCTTTTTCCTTGCACAAAATAAATAAAAATTCTGCAACCAAATCTCTGACTGACGTAACAGGAGTAGTAAGGAGCCTGCACAGTTGGTTTCTGAGCGTGTTGCCCTTCTCAGGCGGACGAGATACGTCGCGCAACGGAGGAAGAACCGCTTGTCGAAGATATTTCCTCTGATAGCGACAACCGCGAGCACTTTTATTCAAAACAGTTAAAATTGGTGACAAATTCTCATACTGATTTTTCGTACTCTGAAACAAGAGAACGATAACATAAATGATTACTTTTTGAAAATTAATGCGAAAACGTTTGACTACTCAACCGATCAGTGTCAGGTACTAAGGTAATTGTGTCAGGGGTACAGAAAATGGCAAGGGATGCTTTTCGTCTATTAAAAAGTACCTACTGTTCCTAAGAGATATAATCTTCTTTACATAGTATAAAATGAAGTCGCTATTTTTTCTTGTACGCTTAGATATTTCGACACGGATTTCAATGCGGTTTTCACCGATACGGTTAGGTGATTCAAGAGGCGGGTTTATTAGTATGTACGTGTAACGGAAATCCGAGAAGTTCAATTATTTGTAACGTAAAGTCGTCAAAACATGTTTTTGCACGCTGAAGCAATTTTGAACAATCCAGTATTATTCCTTATCTAAATAAATACTTCAGATACATTGTGCATTTAATGTAAATCGAAATTGCCGGTTACAGCCTTTACAGTACAGTTATAGCTTTAGCTTAAGATTCTCCGAGATAACATTACTGTCTAACATCTAAATTATATAATTTTGTAATAATAACGTCTTGCTAAAACCAAGTTTTCATTCTCTAGCCATCTAATTTGAATAAGATAAGCAAGGGTTTTTGTTCGACTAGCTTACTATTACTAACTTCTTAATTTTCTATTATTAATTCCATCACTTAATAGGTATTACAAACCTTTAAATGGCAAACGTTCCATCGACATAACTCACAGATTGGCTCAGTCCCATAAGTTGTACATAAGCCTATTACGTTACCTTACATATATTACTACTAACTTATGCCCGCGACTCCGCCGGCGTGTATGTCGGTTATGGCAATTAAAAATTGCCTATGTTACTTGCTGATAATGTAGCTTTCCATTGGTGAAAGAATTTCTAAAATCGCATAGTTGGTTTAGGCGTAAAACCGTATCAACCTAACTAACATTCGCATTTATAATATTAATTAGAATACAGCTTATACTACTCACTATTACTATGTTTTGATCTATTACAAAAATAATAACTTACTGTAGTGAAAGTCAATTTGTACTGCAGTAATGATATAAGTGCCTGCAATGCATCCATATTTCGTGCATCAAATTCGTATTGAGCTTGCTCACCCTTGTTCAACAATGGAGTAAGATATTGATAAAACATCGGTGGTACACTGAAACACACATGACAACACAAATTTACAGTGGCTTATGAGTATTTATTTAATATAAAAAATCAATATAATTCCTATAACCAACTACTTTTAACAATTGTTGGTCTTCCTAATTGACAAATTAGTGGCTTGCCTGCCTAATGGCGCGCCTGCTTATTCTAAAGCCCTTGAGCTCTTGCTACACTACTTTAAAAGCAGAAATATAATAAACTTGCATATTTCTACTCTCCAAATGCTATTAGCGTTTTTTTACCTAATAATGACAATGAATGACAACCTTTATACATACAGTAAGACATTTTCATTAACAAATTTTTACCTCTACAATGAACTTATATAATAGCTTTGGGACACACACAAAGAAATTCAGCCAGCTGCGTAACTTCTAAAATTTGCTGTGTTATGTGTTAATTTTATTATAACATACAATTATTCTACCAAAGTTACCTTGTTAACAAATTAGCAATATTACTCCTTAACTCCATTACTTTCTCTTCAGTGCTACATAAAACATAAAGTAGAGCAGTGAGCACAGGCATTAATTTCAAGTACATAGCTTCCTCAGCTTCATTAGCTGGTTCCTCAGACCCAGACTGCAGAATCAGGTTGAACTCTGTCTTCAGTATTTCACATGTTATAGCCAAATGATTGTCCTGTACAAGAAAGAAATCGGCTTATATTTTTTATTTCTACCATTAACAATATCAGGTTTGCAAAAAACAGTAATGAAATATATATTTATGAAATTGATGGATAATAAAAGCTATTCCCGAAAGCAATTCTTAAACACTTAATTAACATATTCATAAATTGTGACTGACTTACCTGCAGGAAATCATTGGGAACTCCTTCATTAAAATTACTGCCACATGAAGCTTCACCATCAACTTTAGTTGTGACTTCTGACAAGATCTCATTCAAACAATTGGTTAAATACTCCATGCCATGAAGCTCATCTCTTATTTTCATTTTAATATCCTGCCTCAAAGCAGTTAGAATAAAAAGCAATTTCATGTCAAAAAGCATAATTTCCTCTTTGAAGGGTATCTCTTTGTAAATTCTTACTCGAGCAATCAATCCCTGGGCAATTGAAGTGTGAGCACAGTGTGCTCTAGCCACTTCACTATTAAATGTTAAGTTGCAAAGACATTTTAGGGCTTCCACTGCTACATCTTTATCTATTAAGTCTAGTGGTGCCATAGACTCATCATCAAGCTCCTCATAATTGTACAAACCAGCTCTTTCTATAAGAGTAGTTATCCACCTTTCACAGATTAAACTTTCAATGTCTGATTTGTCACGGCTAAAACAGAAAAATACAAAGTCTGTAGTTTTTACAACTGGTAATGCTCCTAATATTTACTAGTATTAATAATAACTTTGCATATGTTACGTATGGCAGTTTGATTCCCAACTAAACAGAGCCTGTGTTGTGGTGACCAGACTTATGATAAACATTTTTAATATTTATAAATACATAAATATTATAAATAATTTACACCCAGACACAGAATTGATCATGTTCATCATTCATTTGTCCTGGGTGGGAATCAAACCCAAGACCTCTTGCTAAGCAGTCAGGATCAATAACCAATAGACCCAAATTGTCTAATAATGTAAAGAGTAGAAATGATGAAACTATGTGTAACCAACCAATCAGTCACGATTTCATCCATACGCGCCGATGTGAGAAATAATTTTAGAAATTGAAAGGTAAATAAAATTATTCCAGATACTTAAAATGAAATATGTACTAAGTCAGTCAGTGGTCTAATAGCAATGAATAATTATAATCGTAACAAACCTTAGTACTCTGATAGTTGCTAAGCACAGAGCATGAATTGAAGTTGACGCTTTATTTTGTAAATGCTGAAATAAAGCTGTCCAAAGTAAAGCCCGTTTGTTTGTTTCCGCTAAATTTGGAAAGTTAAACACATTCTCATTCTGAAATAAAAGAGAGAATTTAATAATGCAAGTAAATATATTTATTAAATAAATCACCTAACTGAATTAACTTACTCTTTTTAAGAAGCTGTGTAAAATTTGGCAGGCTTCTTCCAAATTATCGCCACTACTAATCGCTTCGATTTCACTCCCTTCCATGATAGTATTTTTTTTAATTTAATAAAATCACTATCGAACTAATTATCTATTACAATCAAATGCAATGGCTTCAGTACAGTAAAAAAAAAATAGTTTTATTTGTTGTGATCTACAAATCACACGCACACACGCACATTTAACGAGTATGACAGTATTGACACTATTGACAGTTTAGAACTGTGACTGTGTTACCATGTTGTTGAAGGATTTCTAAAATAGCCGCCCCGCCCTACACTGTGCCGTGTGCCGTGAAGCTTCGGAACAGAAGTGTAGGTGGTTGGTGTCCACGCCTGTTTGGTAAATCAGTATTTTGTCTGTTTGTTTGTATAAAGGGTTAAAGGTTCGTTCGCGCGGCATTCACGGCCACACATCTAGATTTACGGTGCCCTGCTAGTTTACTATGAATGTAGATGACGCACTCGTGACTGACGCAATTTAAATGGGAACGCAGCAGCGTTTTGAGATACTTTTTGGTTTTCTTATTTTGTACTGACAAATAGTTCAATGTTGCCTCAGCAAACAAAAAGCTATTGCAGCAGCAGCTTCCATGTAAATTTCAGGAATGCTGCACATCTTGCGTTGCCGTTTTGTAGGCTTTGCGCATAGCGAGCACATTGTACTGCAGTTGATTCGGTGGTAGCTTTAATTAGGTCGATCCAGCGGGTTGGAGACCGACCCGTGGTATTGTGCCCTCCTCACGGCCTTGTAATAGAAGTCTCTCCATCGAGTCCTCTGTCCTCTCCATCAGTATTCGTAACTGCACAATCGACGAAAAACCTATTTCGTATTTGTAGCTCTTTGAGGATTAAGTTATTAGAGCGGAACGCTGTCCAAGTTATATTTAGGAGTCGTTTCCAGTACCACATCTCTAAGGCATCCGTTTTTTGCCGATCTTGTTTTCTAAGAGACCAGGTTTCGGCCCCGTAAAGAAAGATTGGAAACACGAGGCACTTCATCAAGCGTGCTTTTGTGTTCTTGGTTATTCTCGTGTCTTTCCAAATCTTTTCCAACCGTTCTATTGCTGATCTAGTGATGACGTATCTACACTTGATCTCGTCCTCACATCCTCCAACGTTCGAGATAGTGGAACCAAGGTGAATAAAGCGTTGTGCTACTTCGCAATTAGCTATACTCACTAGGTCTGCATCTTCTTGTTCGGCTCTATCCACTGTCATGACCATGACATTGTAACTTGCACTTCCTAATGACTTTTATTTAAATACCTCTTTAATTATTGTATATACCTACTACACTGAAAATTTACAGATATAAAACGGAACTAAGCAACTAATTACTTTTATAACATTCAGTTTTGCATATCCACACACAGGTTTATCGGTTTTTATCGTGGGCCAAATAATTTATTTTATCATAATTTATTAACTATAGATGTCTCAGTAAAAGTGCACTTTTTCATTTTAAAATAACAACACATATTTTATGAAAGAGTTGTGATATTTTTATTGGATTGAAAAGAAGACATGTTCCGATTAAGTATAGAATAAAGTATCCGGCAAATGGCCCTCATGGCCCTCATGAAATTTTAGATGTCTTTTACACAGATATGTGGCTAACTAGAATCCGCTTAGCCCCTTCAGAGATCCATCAAACCCACAAACGTTGCTCCAGAAGGACGTCGAATAATTTCGCAGCCGAAGAAATCTTTTTATTAAGAAGTCTCGGAAAAAGTCTTGTCACACATTTTTTTATCTCGCTCCCATCCGCTCAGAGCGTATAACGTGCGGTAAGGAACTTTGTTACAAAAGATAATGTCTGGCTTCGGTAACGTTACCCCAGCAGATAAAACACTATAAGTGAAAATTGCAGAAGCTGGGCAATTTCGACATTATTTTGGTCACGCACACTCATTGGCCAGTTCTTGAATTCTCTGGAACTCAGGAGCGTATGTAATATCCACACATCACATCCTAAGTAATCTTCTTAATCTTTACATAAAACATGGAAGAATGGACTGTATAAGTTGCTGGAGACATGTCATGCCATATTAAAAGAGATCGCACTCCTCACCTACAAACGGAGGCAAAACAAGTAAGAACGAAACGAACGAAAGTTCTTCTCTTAAATAACCAACGAAGAGTATGTCTCTCTCTATAAGTTTGCAGTAAGCAGGAGACAAAGACAAAAAAAATTAGGAAAGAAAAGAACGAATATTCTTCCATGTACTGAACTGAAACTGAATGTCCTTTTCCTAAGTCACTACTCTATCAGGAAGTAAAATAATTCTAATAGGATTTTATTGTTAATGTGTAAACATTATAAATATTTCTTTTCTTCGTATCGTTTTTAGGTTATTAATTTTCAATCCATAAAAAACTTCGTACTTCATAATTCTTTCTGGTTTCGTGGTCATATCCATATCACTCTAACGTAGAATCTTTCTACTCTTTTTCACTCTTCATTTTTGAACGGCAGTTTAATCGATTTTTGGCTGTCAAATTTGACTTTGACATTTGACGCCTATTGAAACTTTTCGATTCCCTTGATGGGAATAGTCTATTTTTGTTTGTAAAAAGTATTGTATTGAAGGCCTGAAAATGGCTACAGTTGCACTTACTGGTCCCTTTGTTACTAAAATAAAACGTAAGTCTGTCGTCGTTAACCTACGTTCACTACGATCTCTGTCCCAAACTCTTACATAATTGTGTATACCATCAAAGTGGCCTACGTTTGATAACATTTGAAGTATATTTTTTGGCATGAGATCTGAATTTTAAACAAGTTTTTCATAATTTCAGCCGTTAATGGAGTGCTGAGCATTATTTACATCAAGTCCTCATCTTACAGCACGGATGGTAAAAAGCCTAACCTAGCTGCTTACAAAAGAGGTACTGGTGGGCGCAGTAGTTTCAATGGTATTGTAGCGACCGTTTTTGGTTGCACAGGATTCGTAGGCCGCTATGTGTGCAATAAGCTAGGCAAAATAGGTACACAGGTAATATTAAAAACATGAAGGAAAACAAAAGGATTATTATTTTCAAAAACAGTGAAAAATATCTCTTGGATATTGTTTATTACACCACAGTTCCTTGTTTTTTTAGATGATTTTGCCTTACCGTGGCGATTTTTATGATGCCCAAAGATTGAAAACAGCTGGTGACTTGGGACAAGTCCTGTTTACTCCATTTGACATCCGAGATGAGGAGTCCATTGCGAAGGCAGTTCAGTACTCTAATGTTGTGATTAATTTGATTGGACGGGACTATGAAACCAAAAATTTCAAGTACAATGATGTCCATGTAGAAGGCCCAAAACGAATTGCCAGGTAGTTTAATCTCACATAATTATATTTAATTATAAACAATTACTAATAATTTCAAAATTAAATTATCTGTCTAATTATGGTTTAGGTAAAGTATGTGCAGCTTGGTTTTAAGTCCTTATTTTATAATAAATAGAATTTGCTAAATTATGTATTTTAGGATTCTTAATTTTTAGCAAATTGTGTAAATAACTCCTGTGTTCTTTTGATACCTAATTAATTTAAAAGGTTACCATTAGGTAACTTTTCTATCATTTAGTATTGGGTTCAACAAATATCAATGATCATTTGAAACTCATTGAAACTGGATCTGGGCTACCTATAATGATATACGCAGCCCAGATCCAGCTACAGTTAAAAACAATATTATCCATCAACCATGTCATCTAGGCAAGCAGCAGCACTTCTCTACAAAATGTTTATAATGTGCCCTGGATTAGAAACTTAAATATTCAACTAGAGTTCTATCTTAACTACACTTTCTGCCTTGTAAATGCCTATCAACAAGGAGGGCATCAGCAAAATGACTCAAAAACATTGCTGTGATTTGTCGACAAGAGTAACTCTACTATGCAGTCCTACTGGGCTGTACACTATTTTTCAGTGTATCTTAGTCTGCTCTAATTTAGACGGTTGTAGAGAGGTTCTCTTTAAAGTCGGGCATCTACAAGCAACAACATTACTTCTGTTAAAACCGTTGGTGATTCACATTTCATGCAGATATATCTTGGCAAAATGACTTGACATTAATACTACATATTACAATACCGTAATCTGCTCATAAACGTGTCTTAAGTTAAGTTTCTCCCACAGAAACTAAGCTAGCAATTTGCTAGATCTCTCCCAATCCAAGACCTATTTCTTAGCGTTCCATGGATTCACCGTGAGGGTGCCGGGTCCATCGCCTGATAGATGCGGGCAACATATTCGACAGCGTCTTTGACTTACCACCTAGGTATAGGTTTAGGGAGTACTCCTTGCGACGCGTCAGCGCTCACCTCCACTCTACCTAACTATATTTGATACGAGCCTAGCAATGCCAGTTTGGATATTCGTTCAAGAAAAGAGCTCTTTGAAGGAAAAATCTTGGCAATCCAAGGTTTTTAAGCAGTTTATAGAGGAATTTAGTTGATGTACCCCTCGCACCCACTTCCACGGCATTCAACGCAACGACATAACCATTTTTAGTTATTTCTTTGGTTAAGTTAAAGTACTTGTTTCTTTTTAAAGCGTGGTCTTTAGCGATGTTGGTTTCCCACGGCACCGTGAGTTCTACTGGTACTACACTCTTAATTATAATTGCAATTGCAGGATATCTGTGCCACGGCGTCGAGACAACACATATTTCTGCTGCGGCTTGACCCCGAGGCACAGATAGCCTCCAATATTCTGTTAAGATTTTCATACATGTCCTCTAATAATGTCCAGTCTTATAATTGAGTACGGCTTTTGAGAAGTTTTTTTTTTGCTTGAACCTTCCTTTACAAACGTTTTCGCTCTCGCCAACGATAAACTTATAGCTTCGTGTATAATTTGTAATACCCTATCATGGCGACGTGAATAATGACCCCGGTCTAATAGCGCCTTACAACCTTTTAGAAAGTGCCTGGCTGTACCTATTTCCGCACTGTAAATCTACAAGCCTTTTCTGTAGCTTTTCCTACCCTTACTAGGTTGCTTTGATCGAGTCAATTGAAAGGCGTTGAAGTAAAATTTTAACAGGGCAGGTGACCAATCGTATAAAAGTGTGCGAAATTTCAAAGCTAGTGGGATACAAAATTCACCTAGAGTTAACCATTCATTCTGCTTTTCTAGGTTCATTGCGTGCTCCTTGTAGGTCTCGTTTTTATCTTGTTGTAGTTAAGATTTTGTTATCTCTTTATTCTTAAAACTATTTACCGTGAAGAGCTAAGACAAACTTTCAAACCATAACACTGGGCTGGTAGATTGATAGTGAAGGCTTTACCTGCCGACTATGTGATTCCATGCATAGGTGACTTACAAATTCCTCTATAATGAACAGAATACACTAAAATTTAATTTGATTAAGAAAAGCACATACTACCACCTCAAAGACTGGGAACGCATGTAAATTATCTCTTACGGTTAGGTGACCCATCTGCGCGTTTGCGTCAGTTTCACTAAAAAAGATGAAATTATATAACCTAATACTTTTTCAGAATATCCAGAGAAATGGGTGTGGAAAGATTTATTCATTTGTCATATCTGAATCAAGCAAGATACCCTCAGCCTCTGGTGTTGAAGTCACTTTCAGGTTACAAAGTCAGCAAGTTCTTAGGAGAGTGTGCTGTTAAAGCAGAATTTCCTACAGCTACCATTTTGCGTGCATCTGACATATATGGGTCAGAGGATAGATTTTTGAGGTTGTATATGGTTTTCATTTTATCTTAGTTTTTCATTTCACAAGTTGAAGAAACATATACGCATATTACCAGGCGCAATATTAACAAGATAAACTTCTAGCGAATTTCACTTAACTTTTTTTTGTCACGAAAATGAAATCATATTTGTATAGTTTTAAATTGAAGGTACATACTGTTTAGTAATCAACTGTGTCATTGAAGGAAAACAACTATACAAGTCACTTAAATTGTTTATAAATGTTTTTTTTTTTAATTGATAACCCGAAGTCACACAGATGATATTAAATTAAATGCAAATAGTTTCTCCATGCAGAGACACCACTTGCGTGACCCACACTTTGAGATTTCGACAATGAATTAATGACTCCCGCCATGCAAACATGTATTCAATACTAATATTTTCAGACCCCTCGTTAATCCTCTTCGTATTAACGGCCAGTTCCTACCGCTGTACAAGAATGGGCAGGCTACCATTAAACAACCTGTTTATGTATCGGATGTAGCTCAAGGAATCGTGAATGCTATCCGGGATCCCGACACCAAATGCAAAACCTACCTGGCCATTGGGTAATTCTACATTTATGTTAATCACATTTAACTTTCTTCAATTTTGAAATTACCTTACTTGTTGGGAAAAGTTTTCTGATTTATAGGTTTTTTTAAAGATGTTTTTAAACTGACTCGAAGCACTTATTACAAGAATCGCTCTAGCAGTACAGTAGTAAATGTACTATTACTCGTGTTTGCACTGTGTGATTGAACAGGTTGTACTACTACGTACTAAGTCGCTTCTAATAGTACTAGAGGACCTATTGTGAGTTTATTTCACATCAACTCGGTCTCGACGGCAAGCGCGTTCGGCGTTGCGATTACTGAAGATTTCAATGCGGGCCAATCGCATCGCCGTACGAGGCCACCGTGACGACCGAGTAGATGTGAATTAAACTCACTAGAATCCAGAACGCAACTTGTTAAACCTGTGGTACGTGTTTCATACACTCATGCCTGTTGCCCCGAAGGAGTAGGCAGAGCCGTATTCAATACTTACCCACGTAATTAGGGGCTGGTTAATAGGCTTATCAGTGTCCACCGCACTATTATCTTGGGAATTGAAGGTGCTAAAATTGGTAGCATATTGAAAGGGAAAGGTAGAAAAGAAGGAAAGGAATATATGAAAGGGTTGATAAGTAAAGTATTATCTAGGAGGGCCGCATACCTGTGTATCGGATTGGCTGTTACTGAAAAGTTGGAGTCCTCTAAATTGTTTCTCCTTATTATAAAGGCTTGAGGGCCTCGAGTACGACGTTCTCATCCTGTTGATCCGTTCACTTCTTGCGATGAATAGTAATTTTTATTTCTGTCATTGGGAAGTATGTTTATTGGCATATTGGCAGTATGTGATTGTATTTCGAATGACATAGTGCCTAGTCATTAATTTGCTAAATTTGGTAGATTCACAATTCTTTCGAACTGTTTAAATACGACTACAGTTTAATTTGGATGTGATCCATACCTAATATCATAAATTCGAAACTGTGTCTGTCTTTCTGTCTGTTACTCTTGCCGCTTAAACTGCTAAACCGATTTAGATGAAATTTGGTATAGAGATAGTTTGAATCCCGGGAAAGGACATAGGATAGTTTTTATCCCAGAAATCATCCTTTGAGGGTGTGAAAAATTAGGTGGAAATTTGTATGAGGAACCAATAACCGCTGAACCGATTTGATGACATTTGGTATGGCGATAGTTTGATTCTTGAGAAAGAACATAGGTTACTTTTTACCGCCATAACCGACATAAACGTGAGTGCAGCCGCGGGCAAAAGATAGTTCACTATATGTATATTTGTGTGCCTTGCAAATACTTACTCAGATTGTTTTATAGTAACTAGTGGAAGTAGGGGAAACTTTTTAACTTACTTTATGTGACACTACAAGTAGTTAAAGTACATTTTTTTTATTTTCAGACCTAAGAGATACTTGTTGGCTGACTTGGTTGACTGGTGTTACAAGCTAATCAGAAAAGATGAGAAATGGGGATATGTCCGCTATGACATGAAGATGGACCCATTCATCTTTAATCTCAAAGTAATGCTGATCAATTTAATTTCACCAGCTTACCCCTTGGGAAATCTGCACTGGGAAGGAATTGAGAAGGTATTTTACATACAATAACAAAAATTAGGTATAAAATTATTGATGAAAAAAAAACTACATGATTACGATAAAACAATATTAATAACCTCACAGAAATGTGACGTGTGCCTGTACTATGTTAATTTTACTTTATTGATATTCAGCAAACAAATAAATGTAAAAAATCGAAAGTTTTTCGTAGAAGCCGATGCACTATTTTCAATACAACTGACACACTGGGATCTTATAGAAAATGAAGGTATAAGTTGGTAAAAAACAAGTTTTTTTTCGTTTAAAAAATTATATTGCTTTAGTTTAAAAAAAAAATGTACAAAAGTTGTTGAAATATCGAATACGGCTCGTTCTGGTCCGATCCACTTGTCGCGCGACGCGGACGCCGTGTTGGTTTAGGACTCCATATTAATTCATACAAAGCAGTGGGTCGCTCGACCCAATCGCGGTTGCTAAGAACCGAATGCTACATTAACTCCTGACTTCTTAGGGTCCGCTCACACTAACCGAGTCGGAGGGGTTTCACGTCTTTTTAAATGAGCCGACCTAACGCGCAGTGTAAAACAATAAGAAGAACGTAGCCGAACGGATCCGTTCTTAAGTCTGATCTGATAGATAGGAAAACCTCGCACCTCTCTCGCTCCTCATGCACCGATGTGCATGAGGAGCGAGAGAGGTGCATATATACACGGTGATTTTTAAGGCGTTTTGGAAACGAAACATTTTAATTTGGAATCATCTATAGTACCAATAAAAATGATTAAATCAATTGTAATGTTGTCTAAAAAAAAGTTTCAGTTTTAATATTCATTTTTACTCGATCGACTTGGAAAGTAGTAATGGACTGATCATTCATTCATTATCTTATATGAATGAAACACGTCCGTGGGCGTTTCGGCGGCCGCTGCGCACCGCTGACGCTAACAGCAGCTGATAAAAGTATACCTATAGGCGCGAGCTAGCGAGTACTTACGTAGATAGACTCCAATTTGTCCTTCATACTTTACACGGGCTTAGGATCGTCAGAAATACCTATTTTATTTAAACTTCTTTTCGATTATTAACCACGATTGTTCTTTTCACAACAAATCAATTTATCAACGGACTGTAGGTATAAATATTTCAAGCGTATTTAAAAAATCGGAGCTATCTACAGAATAATTAACTTACATACCTATTTACACTTCTCTGTATCGAAGCAACTGCTCAAAATGGAGTTCGCTGCATTCAATACACAAACGTCCACGTTTAATGCAATTGTTTTTTAATTTTCTTAATGTGTCTCTATCACTTTTCACTTTATCAAAAGCGTCCACTATCGCAATGCGTAAATTATCACGGCTTTCATATTCCCATGTATAAACAAATATTTTTATTTCCGACCATAAGAAAAAATCCAGGGGCGTTAAGTCCGGGCTTCTAGGTGGCCAAGGCACTGGCCCTCCTCGACCTATCCACCGATCACTAAACTCATTGTCCAGGTATGCACGCACTACACTCCGGCGAATAATAATTTAAACGTCCTTGATCTTGCGCGTGAGCGCGCGACCTTTATGTGACTCGATATTAAAACGCATAGTATTTCTATTCGTAATATTTACCTACGTGTGATTGAATAGCCTACTACTACTGGTTCTCACTTTTTCTCTGTAAACGATATGAATATCGACTTTGATGATAAAAAAAAAAAATATATTTTATTAAATTAACGTTATATATAGCTTCTGTTACTGATAAATAACTCAAAATTTTCTTTTCCAAAACGCTTTCAAAATCACCGTTTATATAGGAGATAGGTTCCATGTCTAAATTTAAAATCATACATATTAACACATCAAAAACAAAACTTGTATTGCACGAAACTAGAAGTAAACCACCCTTGTAGAGTTCGGCTCTGATAGCATCCGCTTTAAAGTGCTCTTCTAGCTGGTCTATGTGAAATGGCTTTGTGGGTTTAAACTAACCAATTCCAAACGTAAAAGCGTCAACGCTGCTCTATAGGAAAGAAGAGCGCTGTCTGATGCTTTCCGAGCCGGTCTATGTGAACGGACCCTTAGAAGTCAGTACCATTAACCACTACACCAACATGCTAGTCTATATCCGATACAAGATTGCTACATAGGAGAAATCTTTGCAAAGGAATGAGATAAAAAACATACTTTATTACACTCACATTAAATGGTATTTACGAAACAATGTTTAAAATATTTCCATCGCAAAAAGTAAATATCAATAAAAAGTAATTTCTTGAGATATCAGAGGTATTTACAATAACTAAACTCATTACAGGAATCCACTACTGATGTTGTGGACAGGTGCATGCCAACTTTAGAAGACCTAGGTGTGACGCTGACTCATATGGAGGACCAAGTGCCATGGGAACTAAAACCCTACCGTGCTTACCAATACTATATGGATAAGATTGGAGAGTTCCCAACTCCAGAAAACCCCCGAGTGCAGATTTAGACATTTATTTTTAGAAAAATATCATCTTTTAGTCGATATTTAAAATAATTATAAAACGTTGATACAGATCCTATAATATTATTTATATCATTGCATCATCTACCAATGCGACTTATATCGACTATCAGATCAGAGTTTACCGTCATTGTTTACCGAAATTGAGTTAGATTGTTTTGTACAGCTAATTATACAACAAAATATTACAAAAATACGTATGTATAGGTGTCAAAAAAATATCATACTTTACTTTTCAGATAACATTGTAGTAGACCTTTTCTGTTATGTAATAAATTATTAAATGTTTTAATGTTTTATTTTAATTAATGCGGCTATACAGGGTTACTGGTTAGGTCGACTTAGATACTTTAATGTTTGTAGAGGCCATTATTGCTGATAGATTTCACTATGAAATACCATATCCCAAACTTAACCAATTTCAGTATATTGATCTTTTTAAAATTGCCGAAATTTAGCCTGATTCAATTTTTTTATGTCCTCATTTATATTTTTAAACTATTTTGTGTTGTTGATACATTGTATTATAATTTTCATTACCAAAATTGTAGTTAACAAACTGGGCCGAAGTAGATGGTTGATAATAGCAAAATTAAATATTTTTTTGTAAAATATTTATTCCGTCCTCTCTCTACTCGACCAAGCGAACTAGACGACTGTCAAACGTGACGTCATTGACTTCGGGTACGGATAGCAGAAGAATCCGTGTGCGTTACCCCAGCAAAATAATGTCGAAAATGGTCATTTAAACTTTACAGATAATTAGTTGCTCCCCTTCTGTAATTGTTAGGCACATTTTTAAATTTGTTTCACTTAAACTTTTTTAGTTATTTCAAAAAAACATTTCCTGCTGGGGTAACGTTTGAAACGTTACCGCAGCCAGACATTTTCTTTTTTAATTGTAATATTGAAATAAAGAACAATGGCAGAAACATATTTACCTAAAACTCAAGCGTTTAAAAAATTGACACACCGTAAACTAAATAAATATTTTTTCTATGATTTATCATTGCGTTACCATGTGTTGTATAAGTCTAATAAAAGATCGGATATTTTTGAAGATTTTATTTGATTAAGTACGTAATGTCAGATTCGCCATCACATATAACCGACTAGGGATGCGTGATGGCATTATTATATTATGAAACGTTTTATCGATAATCGCTTTTATAGCTTTGGCTGAAATATCTACCGAAGGTTCACCTTTTATGATTATGAATTTGCTTCTGCACACGGGTTCACTCGCGCGGTAGAGTGACTAAATCAACATAATTACAAATAATTTGGAATATTTTTGACTCTTTTTAAACGATTTTTGCTAGACTAAATTAATAGAATATAGTTACGTTATTTTAACAATGTTCGCAGTCTAACAATATACTGCACAGTGTGATGAGAAAAAATCATTGTCGTTAAAAACGGCTCATAAATAGAGATACATCGATATTTTCAAAATGTCGATACGTCGCCGTTTGGATCCTGTCAAGCGCCGCACTCACCAGTCTTGTCGTTTGACACTCGACATATAGTCTGTTATGCATGATGTGACGCCTTAAAATGTTGTGCATTAATCTCAATGTAACGGATGCATGCTTTAGATTTTAATAAATAATGTAAAAACTACTAGCTGTCCAATAAATAAATAAATTGCTTCTGGCTTGTGTAAATGTGTATTTAAGTACAATTATTCGAATTATTATTTTAATTTATTATTTATTTATTTATAGCTAGTATTACACCTCGGTGAGCGAAGATTTTTTCTATTGTTTTGGTAAAATAACCTGCACCCTTTTAGAGAGTCGGCTAACACTTTCAACAGCAAAATAAGATTGTTAATGATTAATAATAATAAAAATAATATTTTCTATTATATGAGACACAACGCCATCTAGTTTCAAACAAAAAATTGACAATATGTTAGTACTTAACCTCGAAACATTCAAAATACAATATCTTTTTTCCTAGACTTCTTTCGCTAGTAATTTTGTTATGAGAATGGTCAAGAATAAATTCTCAAGCGTTTTAGGCATTTTTGATATTTAAACGCTACCATTTCAGTACAAATAAAATTATGTATGGGGACCTGCCATTGTTCTTTTAGCTAAATAATTAGTTATCTGGACTAGGTAAATGTTACAACTTATTTGGTATTTGTATTTTCTTCGGCTGCGAAGTTATTTGAAATCCTGCTGGAGTAACGTTTGTGGGTTTGTTTGATCTCTGAAACGGGTAAGCGAATTGTAACCATCTTTTGTACATAACTTCTTAAGGATTAGTTTTAATTTGTTCGACAATAAAATAACAAAAATAATGGACCGTTTAAAAATTATTTAGGTAAGTATGAAAACACTTCAATACGTCCTAACACTTTAAATAAGACCTCTAAAGACTTACTTCAAACGTTATTCTATTGCTTGTAACTACCTTCAAATGTATACGAATTTTCGTAAGAATACTGTTAGTGACTAAAAAGTTATGATGAAATGTAGCTCTCCACGTTCACGATCACAATGTGTGCGGCCTTTTTTGGCCACCGATAAACCTGTGTGTGGATATATAAACTGAATGTTATGCCAATAATTAGTTGTTTAGTTCAGTTGTCTACCTGTAAAATTTCAGCGTAGTACATATAATAATTTACGAGATAATTAAATAAAAGTCATTTGAAGGTGCAAGACCGTGGTAACCCAACCATGTTTAGGTGGTTACAAAAAAGCGATCACCCAGTACATTGTGCTGGCTTTTAAATATGTAGGATATTATTTGCAAGTTTACTACGGATATGTACATCAGTGTTACAAAAAACTATGTTTTTAAATAATTTTTATTTAGGATTGTTTATTGCATAATTAGTAATCAGCCGGGAGATTAGGTTTTGTTTTGAATGCTTTTGTTTTCTCGTAATGTTTAGGTGAATTGTTTATAGTTGTTCATAGAATTGGTACCTGCTTAGTATTTGTTAATTGAAGTTTAATTTTAAGGTAGGTATAGGTAATTTAAGTTTTGAAGAGTGTGACGTATGCGTTGTAAATAGGTATTTTGTGAATAGATGGGGATTTTTTTAAGTGATGAATCGACTTAGGCAAGCATATCGCGAACAAACTCTGTATTGCAATATTTCTGTAATAATTTTGGAGAAAATAAAATATTTGATCACAAAATCGCGGTTAGTTAAATTATAATAAAATAAATTATTTATGTAAAATTAGTAATAAGTGATATACCTACCTACAAGTTATGATCGTTTTTAATTTGTTCACCCTGAACGAAATTTCAATATTAGCATTAGTAATTAATATCCTAAGACAAGAATTGACAATTACTTAAATTGAATCGAATTAGCATTAATGCCCATTATTAGTAATTAGGTACACACATATTGAAGAACTCTCAAGAATACGATAAATATTTGCAAAAATAGAAAGCGCACACGTACTTTACAACACGTATATTATCTGCCTAAGGGTCAAGTTTAGTGCACTAGATGCAAATTGCAAACAATGAAGTATCCCTTCGCCCCTCCCCTCCCTCGTTCTAGCGAAGGATGTATTATCAGCGATTCTTGATTGACAAATATTATCTGACCAATAATTTTATCTATAAAAATGTATCACTTTCACTCGATAAATTAAATTACCGTTATTATATCAAAATATCATTCAACAACTGTTCGTTTTTAACAGAAATCAACAGTCACGGGCTCAACGCTTAACGGTAGGTACATAGGTATAGAATCTATATCTATACTATAGATAATTCTCGGTTCTCGGTATAGACCACAGAACAATATTACCTACTCTTACGAGGTATACGACTGTTGGGCGATGCAATGTTGATGCATTCTAATTTACAACTGTATTCTTCTACTATTCGGTCTATTTTAACTTATTGTAGATGACTTGTTGCTTTAAATATTTTGATGCATTCAAGTCTAAGCTCTATACACCCCAAAATAAAATACAATTACTTTAGTGTTATTTCTTTACAAAAAAAATCAAAGAAATGAAACGATTTCTTATTGGTTTAAATTTTCGATTTATTGCAGTCAGGTGAATCGTTCATACATGTATCTACATATTTATAATTTTAGCGGACCAGTGCAGATTTTCTGTTGATTGTAGCTCCGGTAGTAAAAAAGACTAAAGAAATTTTAAGTAAAGAAACTAGTGCTTAAGATCAATTAGGGAAGAAAACAAAATAAATAATAGGTGATAATAATGAATAAATATTGAATGTATTTAACACTGTACGCAACTGTACCGAAATCGTAAGGTGTATTACACTAAACATTTTAAAAGACAGCGCAATGTACTGGGTGATCGCTTTTTTGTAACCACCTAAACATGGTCGGATTACCACGGACTTGCACCTTCTAATGACTTTTATTTAATTATCTCGTAAATATTATATGTACGACGCTGAAATTCTACAGGTAGACAACTGAACTAAACAACTAATTATTAGCATAACATTCAGTTTATATATCCACACACTGGTTTATCGGTGGCCAAAAAAGGCCGCACATATTGTGATCGTGAACGTGGAGAGCTACATTTCATCATAACTTTTTAGTCACTTATAGTATTCTTACGAAAATTCGTATACATTTGAAGGTAGTTTCAAGCAATAGAATAACGTTTGAAGTAAGTCTTTAGAGGTCTTATTTAAAGTGTTAGGACGTATTGAAGTGTTTTCATTCTTACCTAAATAATTTTTAAACGGTCCATTATTTTTGTGATTTTATTGTCGAACAAATTAAAACTAATCCTTAAGAAGTTATGTACAAAAGATGGTTACAATTCGCTTACCTGTTTCAGAGATCCAGCAAACCCACAAACGTTACTCCAGCAGGATTTCGAATAACTTCGCAGCCGAAGAAAATACAAATACCAAATAAGTTGTAACATTTACCTAGTCCAGATAACTAATTATTTAGCTAAAATTTATTTCAATATTACAATTAAAAAAGAAAATGTCTGGCTGCGGTAACGTTTCAAACGTTACCCCAGCAGGAAATGTTTTTTTGAAATAACTAAAAAAGTTTAAGTGAAACAAATTTAAAAATGTGCCTAACAATTACAGGAGGGGAGCAACTAATTATCTATAAAGTTTAAATGACCATTTTCGACATTATTTTGCTGGGGTAACGCACACGAAGAATCCGAATGATCGATACGAGTTATTTTTTCTATATAAAATTACCTAAAGTATTAAGCGCGCGTATTAAGCATTAGGCTTTGTTTATTATTAGTTCAACGAATGTTCTAAGTGAGCGCTTATCTTTATAAGCATTTGGTATAAAGAATTAGAATGTTACACGAGAAAATATTTTTATTAAAATTAGTTATAGATATTTAATTATTACGGGTCTGGGTGCTTCTATGTATTATAATAAAGTATATATTTGTAAATCAAAAGTATATAAGTATGTTTATCCGTTGTCTAGTAACCATAGTTCAAGGTCAGCTTAATCAATCAATCAATCTAATTACAACACCTCTGTATTTGCTCCATGGTTTTATACAAATTATAAATTTATTTTCATTTAAATAGTTTAAAAGTATTTATTTTGTTATATCTAGTATTTACACAAAAAATCACAACAATTACTCATGGTTTGAGGGTATAAGATGATCAGGGAACACTTGATCTACACCAATTAAATGATAACGCCTAAGTGAGGAGCTTGTTTCAATAATTGACCAGCTTTGGTTGATGGTTCCATCAGATCTCTTCAGTAAATTTTATTTTAATGTTTTAAAGCTTTATGAAATCCTAAGCTAAAAGCTGTAACTCGTAAACTAAAAGCTGGCACAGATTAGAGGCGGAAAAAAGGTAGTGTTAATAAAATAAAACATGATATCAATATGATTTTTTTTAATTAACTTAATTAAGGTGCAGGCCTGCCTCGTCCGAATCCTCCTCTCTGAAATGAAAAATATACAATAAAACAAAACTGTATAAAATATGCACAGAATACAGTATTTTTGATACAATTTACATTTCTTAAAGTAACAAAAAGTAAAGAAACAGTTTTTGATCTTGCCAGTAGCACAGAATAGATAATACTAGCAGTGTTAAAGGGCCACTCCGCAAAAACATTGAAATACAATAAACTCTAGCTCCGATACAATAAAGTGAAATTCAGTTCGCACAGCAGTAATTTACCTTGGATTATCTTCACCTAAAAGTTGCCTCTCTTTCTATCCCGTAAATCTCTTTGCTGACGAGATTCTCCTTAGAGAAGAATTTTGTAAAAATAATACATTTTGAACATTTCAAATAAATCGCATTTCAAATAAGGTTAGGTACTTTCTTAGTAGTCTATGTAAACTTAAAATCATTTTGTTTCATAATGTCTGAATACTTTAACCTATTAAGATAAGCATTCAGCTTGGTGTTAGTGTGTACCTTGTTCATGAAACATGTATTTTTAATTTGAGCATTTTCTTTTATTTAGTATAAGTACTTACGTTTATGTCAAAATAAAAAAATATGCAGGAATACCTAGTTGTCTAAATAATCAAAATCTTACTACATACCCACCTAATGTTAATCCTTGGTAGGTACCTACCAAAAACAAAAATACCATAGTACAGTTGAAATAGGTACTCATTTTATCATTCATATATTATCTTGTAACAAAATAACAAAACATATTACAAATAGAACATATTTATAATATTTGTAATATCTTTTGTTAAATTAGTTATGTGTATAATTTGTTGGTAATCCTAATATCCAAGTTATTGTCCAAATAAGTAATTGTTACATTACTTATCCAAGTTAAACTTCACCTTGTATACAAAACTTGTAGGTACCATACTATACGACATTAATAACATGGATAACATAAATTAGAATAATAAAAGTCAACCTTTAATAGGTAGGCACCTAACTAATTACCTAACGTCCACCTTTATTTTTAGCATTGTTGTTAGTTATTATTGTTAAATTTTTGCAGTGCACTTTCGATGTCCTTTGCAAGTATGAATAACCTGAGATTCCGATCTTAACTATAATTCAGGCTGAATACGATTTAATATGCTTATGCCTTCATTTTAGTTCAGTAATCTTTTCATTTACGTATGAGTGACTTGACCGAGACGAAAAGACGCGGCGCGTGAATATCGAACTAACTTACGCCTATTGGTGCGCGACCCAGCCGGCTCGTGGCAGCCCACTGAAGAATAGGGCTGTCAAATCGAAGCGTCGATGTATTTATAGGTTGTTACCTAAAGTGCGGAGTGGGCCCGGCCTGCCATAAGTAGCAGACAAACTCTTAATTTTGTTACAAGCAAAAATGCTTGCATCTTCCAGTACTGAATTGCAGGACATGATAACTATCTTCAATGGTGAGCTTGAGGTGAAGTATGAATGCAAGCAATACGTAGGTTATAGTGTTGGAAAGCGCGGAAGTGATGACTGTATGTGTAAAGACTGGAGTGAAGTGAATGAGTTCATTTATCTAGGAAGTATATTAACAAGTTATGGAAACTCAGTAAACAATGCCCTGCATTCCCTTGTGAATAGTAAGAACGGCTCATTAAACGCACGTCTGGCAGCTCATGCAAAAACTCTAATGTATGGCAGAATTGAGTGAGAGTTGGAAATGACAGAAGAAACATGAGAAAAAAATTAATGCTGTGGAAATGTAATGTAAGATTTACAAGAATTGAAAAGAGATGTTGCAGGTTTGGAGATGTTGTTAGGATGAGCAAACAGCAAAAAACTAAAAGAATTTATAGGGCCCTGTGAGTAGACGAGCCGGTGCGGGCTGGCCCCAAAAGGCTTATATTGACCAAATCGGCAATCTTGAACAATGAAAGGCCTTGTTTAAAGCACCCCTAAGCTGTGAGTGTATATGAACGGCCTGATGAATGTGTAAGAAGCGGGAGCAATATGTTAGGTTTGTGGCAAATCGTCTTTGCCTACCCAGGACGGGAATGAGGCATGAGTGTATGATTTTAACATCATTCCTGCCAAGGATAATATTAATATGTGAAGAAAATTCTTTGTAAGTACCTCATTTCAAGCAAACATGAAGCATGAAAGCATATCATATTTGTAATAGTTAATCTTTATAATTTGTGAAAGAAGTGCAGAAAGCTAAACTTTTCAACTGTCTGGTCTGTAGTATATACTTTGGCATGTCATGGTACAAGTCTATACAATGACAGTTCCAGTTATACAGATCAATAAAATAAGACATTCAAAACTAAACAACTCAGTGATATCTAGCACTAATAAGGGGAACTCCTAGCTACAATTTAGATTCAGTAATGCTATGTTTTCAGAATGCATGACTGGAGTTTGAAAAGTTACTTTGGTATTCACTATGACCTGTCAAATAAAACTTGTAAATTTTTAAATCGACCCCAACATCACTGATTTTCTCATTCCGTTTTCGATTGAGTTTTGCATTTTCAACTGAAAATTGCAATGGTGCGCATTTTTAACATTGTAAAGAATTTCATTGATCAAAAAAAACTCCCAATAATATTGTGCATTGCATACTTTATCATATTTGAGGAGCTAATGAAAAAAAATTGGACCCTTTCTATACTTTAAATGATTTAACATATTGTTTTAAGATAATACTATAAAACATATGTTAATCTATCTATAGTTATAAAAATGTTAGCTTGGTTTGTGTATGTTTCTAAAACTAAAAGTTCTGCATCTATTGAGCTCACATTTCATATTGGTTATGGTCCTCATTTCCAATCAATGCATCCACAATATGCTACAGAACACCACAAATATTACCAAATTTTCACCAAAGCCAAAAAATCTTGAGTAAACATTCAGAATATTATTAAGTATCTCAATTATGTATCAAAAACAAGAACATACTGTTCATTTTTTTGTCTCTAGTAAATACCAAAGTTTTAAGCCACATGTTTTAATAATACAATTTTACTGTATTTGCACCCCTGGATAGATATCAAAATATAATAATATCAAAACCTATATTCTAAAATCTGCAATTAGCAAGCTTTAATTTCTAGAAATGCCTAATGATGACTGATCAAAACAATGACATTACTCACAAATTCAACACCAGCAGATCCAGGTCCAACATCAGCCTTCTTGTCTTGTGCAGCTGGCGTCGTCGGTGCACGACGGTACGCCGAGCGGTCTTCTGCACTACGAGCAGGCGCATCGGGCCGGCCGACAGCACCACGGCGTACTGTCTCAGTACGTACTGAGCGTTTCAGAGTTGCTGGTACAATTTCAGGTGGCAGGTGGAGGAAAATACGTAGGTACTCGATGCCCTCATTAGTCAGGTACCTTTGAATAATTCAATATGAAGCATCTTACTAAATTAATACATAATGTATTGTAAAATGACAATTTTGACATATTCAATTATGTTTTACCAAATTCAATAATATTTTTCTAAAGAACAAATAAAACCAAGTGAAGTAGAGAACATTCAGAGAACGGTCTTCAAGAAAACTTGATAATTGTCACTGGCATGGTTATATTTATACAGATAGTTTACCCGTCACACACCGACTGCCCTTCGCACAAAGTAATTTTCCAAATAAATGATAAATGAGATTAGAACATACCAGTAGAAATGCCTCCATGCAAACTGCTCCTTGACGTATCCTCGAGATTTAAGTGACTGCATAGCCTTTATAACTTGGAGGTTAGGAATCTTCTCCAGATCGGGGTGTTTTGGAGCATGGTAGTCTTTCTTAGCTACCATTACTCCTTCTTTGAATAAGTATTCATAGATAGAAACACGGTTCTGTTTTGGCATCAACATCTTGAAGCACTACCTAAAACAAAATACAGAAGAAGCTCACAGGTTATCTTTACTTTGTTAGGTCACTAGAAATAAAATATTTGAATCAAATATCGTAAAAGACCCTCTAATTTTAAAATCTATTACTATAAACAAATTAATTTATAAGATTATTGCAATAATTCATGATGTAGAAATTTTGTAGTACCTTCCGCCTATTTTGACAAAAGAAAAGGATTGGCAACTCAAGTTTGACAGTTGACAAATATGTGCAGTGCTGCCAACAGTTAAATAGGGTAGATTCCTAGGTTTGAAATAAATTATTTCGCCTGTATCATTAAATCTAACATCTGAAAGTAGAGGCTGAATTGTCCTCCATCGTCAATTTGATTTTTTTATTCATTTGATATCTTGAAATCAACGTTAAATATAAATGATTTGACAATAACTAGGTATGACGTCACGAAATAGTATCTCATACAAAAATGTACCGCGTCCAGCGTTTTGACGTTTAAAAAAAGACAGTTATTTGACTTGACAGTCATCTACCCTATTACCAGTTTCAACCTGTAAAACCACCAGATGACGAAAAACGGCTCTACTCTAAGTCTCAAAATTTATCACGAAATATTTTTTAACTGTCACGAAAAATCCAAGAAGTATATGAAAAATTAGTTTTATTGTTACGTAATACTAATACTAAGAATAGAGTCCGACACAGGTTTTCCGTAGAATATAACGAAAGAGTGAACAAGAGCCCCAGTCTTGCAATTAGCATATCGCTTCTTAGCTAAACAGCGACAGAGGGAAATATCGGAAAATTCACTATAATTTCAATATTAATTTTATTTACATAATGTGATAATTGGATTAAATGGCTATAATCTTCTTTGAATGATATTTTTATAGAAATGTTAAAAATATTAACAAAGTAGCCAACATCTGACTTAAAGTGAAAAAATAATAATTAAAGGATTAAATTTTTTGCTTAAAATGGTAACGAATACATACGAATGAAATCTATAGTGGCACTCGAAATAATAAAAATATTATAATCTTGAATGGGTGTACAATAAAGATTATTCTATTCTATTCAATTCTATAATATATTACTATATCAATATATATTTACTATGTAATTTTTATTAGAAACCAAATTTTTTATGGGTCCAAAAAAAATCAATTTTCTAAAAATTACATGTCTAGTAGACATGTAATTTTGTAAACTAGTTACATGCTTGCGAAGGCTTGGCAAACGTCCACAAGCTCTAAACCTTTATAAATTATGGTTGGCATTTTCACGTCTGCGAGTGTATTAGTGTGTTAAGGACAGGCAAATATAGCAGTCCTGGACTTATTATTATTCAAAATGTACACAAAATACATACACTAAACTTGAAAAAAAATCCTCTAACTCTACTGCTTAACCAGTAGAGTATTGAGACTTGATGTTGATTCCCGACTGCTCAACTAATACCAAAGTTAACAGTGGAGAACAAGCACACGCTAACATGTAAATTCCTAACTAACATGTGTTTCCTATGCTCCAATCACGATCGAAATCTTCGATCAACCAACAATATGCTTCTTCTATGCCCCCCTCACATCAACTCCTCCTTCTACGTCCAGTCAGTTCCGTGCCGAAATCAGGATGTCAACAAATCGCCTTGCATTCAAGAGAAAAGTGCGCGATCTTCTTTGGGGTGAATTGGCGAAACAGTTACAGCTCTAGTTCTCGACTGATTATTTATAGATTTCATTAAATTTATGTAGGTTTATGTATGCATGTGTGTTTTTATATTGTGTATGTTTCTGGACCTAAATTATGTTAAATTTCATATTTCATTTTGCACCTACCGCATCATATTTCTACATCACCTGAAGGTTGACTGGGAGAGAATGCCTAATGGCATTAAGTCCGCCTTTGTACAATATGTGCATTATGTTTAAAATAAATAAATAAATTCGTCGCAAACGCTTGCTGCAAGGTTTTTTGATTTGTGTTCAAAACCGACACTATCCCCGATCGACGACAAGCTCACGCAAGGCAAGCCAAACACCCCGTTGATACGATTGTGTTGGACACTTGTACATTGATAAGTATTCAGTTTTTAAATTGAAAATTGTGAAGAGACTACATTTCTTCCTACAACTTATCAATGGCAGTCGTTGCCATAGTTACGTTTGACAGTTTAGAAGTTACTCAACTGTTTTTGCTTGCATACATTTCGTATTCATTATATCTTACATTATTGCATTTGTAACTACAATAAAACCCTTTCTAACTGCTTTAAGAAAGTTCTGATATTATTGCCTTGTCTATATAAAAGTGGTTCCACATTATAAAAGCTAACAAAAATAAGACGATTTATAACAATATTGTTTTTCTATGGCCATTTCATTATTTCTCTCTGGCAACACCTAATTCATTATGTCACTTTCAATTGACATTTAACAATTCGGCTAGTGGCAGTGGTTTGGAAATTGGAAGTTTGGAACTTTAGTTGCTTCTCAGGTGTACCTTAATCAGGTGGATAAATAATTGTTTTGTGAGACATAGGTTAAATTCATGCTGAACAGAATAGGTTAAGTAAAATAAAAAGAAAGGAATCAACATAAGATGGATTTTCAAAATCGGCCCGGTGGTAAGACTGGCGGTGGAGGAGTAGCGTCGTGGTCGGAAAGTAATCGAGACCGACGCGAAAGACTTCGGCAGCTTGCATTGGAGACAATTGATCTTAATAAAGATCCCTATTTTATGAAAAATCACTTGGGTATGTAATTAACTCAGAAAAATGCATGTAATTCTTAAATATAATTCTTCATTAACCTTAAAACCTTTCTTGGTTTGAATAACTTCATAGGAAATTACTTGCAGGGTCTTATGAGTGCAAGTTGTGCTTAACGCTGCATAACAACGAGGGAAGTTATTTAGCTCACACACAAGGCAAGAAACATCAAGCTAATTTAGCTCGAAGAGCTGCTAAGGAAGCAAAAGAAGCACCTCAACAGTTAGCTCCTGAGAAACCAAGGATAGAACCTAAAAAATTTGTTAAAATTGGTCGACCTGGTTATAGAGTGACCAAACAAAAAGATCCTGAAAATGGACAACAAAGTCTACTTTTCCAAGTAGATTATCCTGGTAAGTGATGTTACTTAGTTGGTTAGTTAGTGTAAATAATTTAATGAAATATTCTTTTGCCAATATCCCACATCAGTATCTTTTAAATTTGTATAAATTCTTAATGTAAGTTTGGTACAATAAACAATGGAATTGATTTGTATTATGCAGCAACTACGGTGGCAACTTACATTACATGTTATGCAGTTTTAATTGTCTGATAGATTAAGTTATCTTTGAGTTTGGACTCTTTATCTCACATCTATCAATCTCCAATAGGTATGAAAATAAGGTTGATAAAATTGTCTTTTAAGTAAATATTAATTTAAAAACAAATGCCTATATGATTAATCTTTTCCATGTTGCCTACAGAAATAGCTGAAGGGGTGCAGCCACGCCACCGTTTTATGTCAGCCTATGAACAGAAGATTGAACCTCCAGACCGCAGATGGCAATACCTACTTTTTGCGGCTGAACCATATGAGACAATTGCTTTCAAAGTGCCTAGCAGAGAAGTGGAGAAACATGACTCTAAATTTTGGACACATTGGAATAAGGACACAAAGCAGTTTTTCTTGCAATTTGCTTTTAAAATGGAAGCAATGAGAATGCCACCTCCTCCTAAAATGTGGGAGAATCATGGCATGCGTCTCCCACCACCACCTGGTGCTCCGCTAATGGGTGTGCCACCACCTCCTCCCCTGTTACCTGTACCTCCACCACCACCTTCAATGTAATAGAATTTAATTGTACATTAAATTTTTATTATAAAAACATTTTGTGTTATATGAATTATTAAGAATGCACTCCATTTTTTTATTAAATATTAGGTCTTTACCTATGAAATTGCCGTTTTGTATACAATAAGTGAAAGTACTTATTTTTTCAAACTTTTTTATTTCTGTTATTCGAAGTAATCACCCATGCAATCGATGCATCTTTGCCAACGCATTGGCAGTTTATTGATGCCCTTCTTGTAAAAATCAGCTAGATGGGAGGCAACAAACTCTTCAAAGGCATTTTGTACTGCCTCTCGGGAATTGAATTTTTTACCCACTAAAAAGTTTAATTTTGCTTTTATTGAAACTAATCTCATTAAAATAAATGTTATCAATATTTAGCCCAGGCAGAACCTGTTTCCATTTGGGTAAACCAAAAAGTAATTTATTATTGAATTAGTTCCGAAAAATGATAATTTTGTAATGCATTCGCTTAAAAATTTCTTTGATCTTAGCACAGAGTACAGTAATATTATTAGAGAAGTCCCAGTTAATACCATGGCCATATATGTGTTATAAATACTACTAGTGAGTCAACTCAGCTACTTAGAGGAGCAACACTGGGGCGCGGTATGAAGGAGAGCAGAGTATTGGCCGGCTGCGCGAGTCAACCAGTACGCCCGTTTAGGAGTGTCACGTATCAGTTGCACGCGTTTTGTCCAACACAAGATTATTCGGAACATTTTTATTATTTGATTAACTCACAGTAGTACTGTTATCTGTTTACTAAACTAACTAATAATATAATATATCGATGAATTTGGTGGTTTAATATAAATTTACATATCATCATCAGCCTATCGCAGTCCACTGCTGGACATAGGCCTCTCCCATTGCACGCCCCATACAATAATAACAAAAATCACCATATTACTGTTTTAATCATTTATTAAATACATACATTTATTAATTTTATTATTGTAATAAATAAAATTAATAACTTTATTAATCTATACAAATAAATAAAATGGAAGTTTCTGTTTGTAATGTCAAAATAACAGTTTTTGTCATGCTGACACGGATATTTGCACGATACCTACGTCTAAAAACCAGTTTAAAATTTATTGTCTGTCTGTTTGTTCCGGGTAATCTTCTAAACGGCTGAACCGATTTTGATAATATTTTACTACCAGGTAGCTGTCTATATAAGGAGTACATTTTTTCCTCTTAGAAAAAGCTTTTTACGTTTAAGCTTTTTTATTTATAGCACCTCCTTACGTGCCTATTTGTGTCTCGAAGATATACCTACATAGATCTGGCAATAATAAATAACAACAACAAAATAACCTATGAACTTAATAAATAACAAAAGAGTATCCACCGGGTCTTAACTTTCATTGTGGCATAAGTGAGATAATTGTCGAAATAGCAAACATTATTTGCAAAATTAAAAAGAACTTGGTCCCGCGGGCATCTTTCAATTTAACAATGATTCTACTTATCTCTGACAGAACATTCAATACTGGCATGAGTTAGAAAATAGGTGTTGAATTTCTGTCGCCAGCTGACGGTCTATAGTCTTCGTAATACTTTACTACTAAAACTCCTTTTATGACATTTGTGCAATCGGATCTGAATTTTGACCCTGTTTTTTTCACAATAGTATAGATTGTAGATACCTACCGTAGTTTTTCGCTATTGTTAACAAAATAAATGCCAAGTTTAAGGTTTCTAATCTAATCACTGCACTACATCCCTCCTAAGGGTCCTAGCGTGATGTTACATAGCCTATAACCGTCCTAAACAAACAATCTGAAGCGGCGGTAGCCTAGTGGTTAAGGTATTGGACTTACGATCAAGAGGTCGTAAGTCCTCGACGTAAGAGGGGTTTGAATCCTAACCAGTACTCTACCGACATGAACCCACTGCTAACACAAGCAATTTAGCTTAACGGGCGGGTTTAACTGGAATTTCGGATGTTGGTTACCGTTAAAAAAATGTGTTTAAATTCGTCTAGCGGACTTGATACCACAATGGATGAGCATACATCACATACCTATATTCATGGGTACCTACACAACATAACTCTCAATTTCAAAGTAAAATAAATTATCATTATCTTCACAGGACAAGATGTGTCCACACTCCACACACTAATTTCCTAATTTAACTTGAATTTACACTTTAAATAATCATATTATAATTATTTTATTTGTAAAGAACCACAGATTAGTATAATGTAGCCAGCTAGTCAAGAACTTTTGACCCATAATACAATTATTTATACTTGTGTGGTTTGAAAGCCTTTATATTTTTACAATTTTAACGTTAACGTTAATTTGTGAATATTTGAATAATATATGGATTTTTTATGGTGATGATTTAGGGGTTTAAAGATACAGTTTAAAAGCACAGTGTAATGGAACGTATTATAACGGTCTCTATACTCTCTATTATTATAAGCGGGAGGGTGCAAGCAATACAAATAATAATAATTTTACGCGCGCGTTCGCCCCTATTCAGTTGACAATTTCTGTTATAAGATTCTGTTCATTTGAAGAGCGAACGTTAAAGATTTTAAATTACATTGGCTTGGCTAGAAACATAATACATAGGTGTTTTAAAAATTGATATTAATTCAAATTAAAATCATGTTCTCCAAGGCAAAGAGGTTTGAACCTATTGGTAAGTGACGGCAACTTTTTGTTTTATATTTTATATTATCATGAACTGTGTTCCTTTCAATCGAACTTATTACATCATCTTAAATGAGGTTTTTAACATATTTATTATTTAAATTTCAACATAAAACTGAGTTACATTTTATTTCTATTATCTATTAATTTGTAAGACGAAACTGTACATTAACGGAGTGTTTTATTTTTTTAACCCCAGGAAAGAATCAAAATAAACCATCTACAATTAAACAAGAAAGTGATAAACGTATTAAAGTGCCAGCATCTGTGGTCAAACCCAAGCAGTTAATTGCAACAGCATCTACCAAAGTTAGCTGTGATGTGCAGTCTCAGTGCAGCAGCTCAGCACATAGTGTGAAGTCATTTGCAACAGTATGTTCTCATTGTGACTCGGTTACAAGATCTAATATGTTCTGATCTTAAGATTTTAATGTCATTTTTCTGAGTTTAAAGATTTGAAATTAAAACTTTATAGGTACTCAAAAATGTTCATACCCCACACCATACCAAATTGTATTAAATTCTAATTCAGTATCCTTTGACCATACTTGTACATCAATACTTAAATGAAATACATATAGAGATCTGTTATTGATAAATATGTTTTTTTGTACATTCTCAATTCTTATTTACAGCCAAAACCTTTAAGACCAGTAACAACTAATAAGGCTCCTTTTAGCTGTAAGAAAAAAAATGAAGCAAATGATCCCAAAATTAAAAAAGAAACTGAATGTGAGATTCTCAAAGCCCAGAAAGTGGAGATTAGGTAATTTGCAATAATTATCTATTTTGATTGGTATTTAATTAGGTTGTATACTACTAATACTGTATATTTTATACTTTTAGAAACAAAGATTACACAATTGCTGAATATGCCAAACAGATAGAGGAATACAAAAATAAAATATTGTTGCTAGAAAAACAATTACAAGAAATAAACACTTTTAATAAGATAGACAAAAAGCTTTCACAACTCACTATAGACGAAGGGAGAGTTGATGATGAATTAAAACAAAAAATATTAGAATTAGAACAACAATGTGAAATATTTGAGCAAGAAATAACTGATAAACAGCTAGAACTAAGATCAGTTGAAGAAGTTATTACCATCAGAGACAGCCTATGTCAAGACTTACAACAGAAATTGACTACTGCTGAAACAGACCTGGAGGAAACTCTCCAAAGGCTTGAAATGGTCAAAGGTCACCATGCTCTTGCTCTAGAAGCCAATGAAAGCATTAGACGTGAATACAAAGTTGAGTTAGAAACTTTGAAAGTAAAGCTGGAAGAAGAAAAACAAGCAATTATTAACAAATCTAAAGTTGATCAAGAAACTTTGAAATTAAAGCATATTAATGTGATAGAAAGTATGAAAACTCAGTTGCTTAAAGAGAAAAATGATGCCCTTCTAGAATTACAGCAGGAATTAAATAACAAAGATAAAGAAATGAAAGCTAAATTGGAGCAGATGGAAGAAGCAACTCATGAAAAGTTACGACTTTGTGAAATACAATTTGAAGAGCGAAGTCAAAATATACACGAACATTATACACAACAGCTCATAAATCTGCAGAGTTATGAAAATGAAATAAGAGAGCTTAAATATAATGTTGAACTGGCTGAAGAAGGAAAAATTATACTTCAAAAAGAAATAAATAATTTAAAATATGAAAATGATTCTTTGACCAAAGATAAACTAAGTCTTATAAAGGAAAGGGACGAAATGAAAGAGGAATCTAAAAGAAAACTTATTGATTTTGAAAATGATATTAATAAATTAACAGCAGAAGTAGATAAGGTTGTGAAAGAAAAGAATAGGTTTGAAACATCACTGTCTGTAACAAGAGATATTGTACAGGTATTGACAATGCGTCTGAGGGAATCTGATAATGAATTAGAAGTTTTGGAAGACAAAGTGCAAACTTTGACCAACTCAAACGAAATCTTAGAAAGTGAACTTAATTCATACAAAACTAAGCTGAATAATACTGTTATGGAATGTGATGAATATAAAGAGGCTTTAGTAAATATCTTAAAATCGAAAGCAGCATTAGCTAAGGAGCATAATCGTATTATGGAGCATAATGTTTCTTTGATAGAAAGTTTGCAAAATGTTGAAAAAGAAGCATATCGTGAACTTGGCTCTATCAAGAATGAACTCATTGAGGATGTAGAACTATTAAAAAAGGAATCTAGTTCCCAAATTCAATCCCTTCGTGAAGAGGTAGGTTTAGTGTAATTTGTTAATTTCAAATATACATACTCTATGACTTTAAGCCATATTTTTACCATTCCAAACAAATATTGGGACAGCAAAGTGATGTGACAACTTATAAAATCTTTTCTTAATTCAATATATTTATATACATAACACACTCTATGTAGTGACTAGTTTTTCTCATTTGACCATGATCAACAACACAATACAGAATTCTACTTTGAAACTAAACTAATGTGTTGTATAATACTTAATGCTCAATTAAAGGTCATTAATTAAGGGACTTAGCTTTAAATGATCCTAAAATTAGGATTATGATGAGGTATAGTATATATTGCAGTTGCATTAACTTTTAATTCCAGGTACAGGATAGTAAGTCTAATTTTTTTCTAAACATGGTGTCTTAGTGATCAGTTCAAATTTTACCTTAGTTAAACCGACTATACCCGAAAATATGCCCGACTTAATTGTTTTTTAATTTAATTTTTTGTTTGCCTATTGCATTGCTCCCATGATATCGAGATGCGTATCATGATAAATTGTTATGAACTGTATTCTTCATTCCTAAATTTTTCACACTTCAAATTTGATGATACGAAACGGGAACTACCTACCTAATGATTTTTCAAATCGAATATATTTTTTAATTTTTGAAATGGGTACATTAAAGGAAAAGAATTTAGAAAATCTATGACGGTCCACAATTGACAGAGAGGAGGAGGAGAAAAAATACAGGAGAATTGAGAACCTCCTCTAATGTGTTTTTCAAGTTGCTTTAAAAATACAACTAAATTCAGAGGACCTACTCTATTTTGAGGTTTGTTGAAAATTGAGTGATATTATAGCTATTTGATTATTTTAGATCGAAAAGAAACGAGTCTTGTGTGAGCTAGCAACTGAACATGCAGGTCAGGCCACAGCTGCGGCTGAACAATCGCGTATGCTTCTGGCTCAGGCTGCTGCGGAAATCAATCGTCTTGAGGCTGAAAACCAGTGCCTACAGCAACAGGTAATACATTATTTTTGATCTGAATATTAATCTAACATTCAAATCGGAGGGCCATAACTTATTAAGGTTTTTTTTGTAGATTCAAGATCAGCAATCCGTAGTTGTGGAACTATCGATACTACGCCAAGAAAATGAGGAATTAACTATGACACTAGCTAAGCAATCTTCGATTATTGACAAAATGAAGAAAGACTCTGAGCAGCATTTCAAGCCAAAGTCGCCTTCAGTAATGCGCAAGACGACCAAGCTTGGCAAAGAAAATATGCAGACAGTTATATCTCCTTTGCGGGAGCGTAATCACTAAGATTCACATTTTTAAGTCTATTACTTGTTGTACCTTTACATGTTAATTTGACGCGTGTTTTGTGATCTCTTTGTTCGTGATGCATGATTGTTATTTTTAAACTTGTTTCATTATGTACTTAAAATTCATGTTACATTACCAAAATCCTATATTTTTTAATTTAGATTTTTTTTTCAATTTTTACGTGAAGTTTGGAAGTTATTTCGTCTGGGTTATTATTTATTATTAAATATTTTATATTCTGACCAATATGCAGTTGGCGTTTATGTACAATTCGTGTTATATTTATTAAAGCGTGTAGTGTAATAATAATAAAAAATTATAATCATAATTATTATCACTTCTTTTTTATTATTTTTAAATAACCTCGCCTCCCATGCCATAAAGTAGGTTGACAAAAATTTAGACGCAACACATCAACTCGATCGTCACGGTGACGTGTGCTTGCGAACGAAAAAGAAAAAAAATCCTCAAAAATTTGTTGAAATTTGTCAAAATCGAAGGGAACAAACCAAATACAAAAATCAACCTGGACTAGTGTTTTTACGAGACTGAAGACTTAACAGAAATTCGAATCTTGAAAAAGGTTCTAACAAAAATTTTGATTTCTCATTATTATTACATATTTGTCAAAGTAGAATTAAAGAATTTATAAGGGTTTTTATAGGGACTGCGCGGCCACGGAGATCTCGGCAACTCCTTAAGTTAGAAATCTAATTGTTAATTGTCAATTGAAAACTTAATTTGTCAAAGTTCATAAAAGAATCATAAGCTATAGATAGATCAATATTTTACGAAATATTCACCTTGGAAGTTGTGGCCGCGCAATCGTACACTTGTTTTTTTATTGTTGATTATTTCTTTAAAACTTAAGAGTTGTACAGTAAAACCGTTACAAGTAGAAAGGTCTAAATTTGTTAAAACTAATGGAAGCAATAAATACTACCAAATTTAGTTAAATAGAGAAAATCAATCAAGAACAAAAAGTACGTGGCCGCGCAGTCAAAACGTTACTTTGTAACTTGATAACTTTACATAGTATAAAATAAAGTTGCTTTTTTTGTTGTAGGCTTAGATCTTACTAAGCAACGAATTTTAATGCGGTTTTAACCAATAGAAAGAGGGATTCAAGATTAAGGTTTATATGTATACATACGTGCATATTATTGTAGAGAAAATTCGAGGATTTCAAAGATTTGTCTTAAAAAGCATGCATGTTATGCACGTTTACATTCCAAACGTTGGCTATTCCTTACGAGATAGACCGAAATAATGTACTACAAAATTGTATATCTTAAAAAGATTACAAAAAATCCGCAATGGTATATTTCTATCTTCTAAAGTTAATCATTTTTATCTTTTGAATATTACAAACGAAGCAGCTTTATCCAATTAAATACATTAGATACGTCGTGCATTTAATGTAGATTAAAATTGCTCTTTCCAGAAAATCATTAAAATGAATATTTTATAGGATATTAAAGATTTAATAGGCCGTTTACACGTAGGCAAGCCTCGACAAGTGTCCACATACACAAGCGTGTAAACGGGGTTTGGCTCAGCTCGCGTATGCTTGTCATCGATCGGTACTAGTCTCGGTTTTGAATACAGATCAAAGGAAGCTCGCGGCAAGCGTTAGCGACGTATTTACACGTTGGCGCGTGCTTGTTCCCTACTACTCAATTTGATATTATAATTATAGTTGAGCAGTCGGGAATCAACATTAAGTCTCAATGCTCTATGATTGAACAGTAGGGCTAGACATTTTTTTTAATTTAGTGCCGCCATTTATATTTTGAATAAAAATATGTCCACGTCTGCTATGATTGACTGTCCGTAACACAATACCACACTAGCAAGCGTGTAAATAGCATCCAAGCGTTTGTAAAGACTTGGAACTTGTGGACGTTTGTCAAGCCATGGCGCGCATGTAAACTAAGCAGATAATGCGTGGGCAAAGCGGCCTTCGCCGCTTCGGGCCATACGTCCGCTGCGAGTGGCACTAGCCGGCAGGAACGGAGCGGGCCTATAAATATTGCATGTAAAGATGTCCTGTAGTATAGCCCTATCATAATATGTAATATTATAATTAATTATTCCACACTGATACCACATTAGTAGGATCTACATCGCATCCGTGCGATGCCGGGGCGGAACGCTCGTTAACTGTAAGTGCTGGGATTTTGACGAGAGCTTTCCAAAGACCGACGATGCGACGACCAACAGTTGCACGTGGGAGGCGGTACACGCGACATTATGTTACTGGCGTGGCCAATGTAGTCCCTGGCACGGGGAGTGTGGCCTAACGGTTACAAGAGGGGCGACGGGACAGCCGTCAGAAGTCTCGCATTAAGCAGATATTAACTGGCGGCGGTCAATGCCGAACACCGACAACCCGACGGCCCGACCCGCAAACGCCGACTTATCGGGAGTTGGGGGTCTTTCTTCTAGATAGGAGACTGGCCAAGAGGAGAAAACCTCAATAAAAAACCACAAGGGTAGATCCATGGCCCTCTACGGAGCGCCGATATGGGCCAAGCGCCAATTAGCGTCCTGCGCCTGATTGAGCTTAGCTCAATCAGGCCATTCGGATCGTACGAGGATACCGCACTATTTCGTCGGAGGCAGCGAGAGTCCTGGCACGTTTCGCATGCATGCATAGTCCTCTGTTATCCTGGCGGTTATGGACGCGAGGGTCTATGACCAGACTCACGCAATCCGCTGGGTGAGAGCGGGGAAAACCAGGACGAGCTCGAAATGCGGAGGAATGCTCACCCACAGGCACTGGTTCAATGGCGCGTTTGGCTGGAACAGCTGCAGAATGCACGCCTACGCGCTGTCGGTGTTGTTCTGCCTAACCTCGAAGCTTGGGTAGGAGGGGAGGGAGGTTGCGTCGCCTACCGACTGACGCAGGTACTCACTGGGCATGGTTGCTTCGGTGAGTACCTTAATCGTATCGGACGCGAGGAGACGCCACAATGCCAGCACTGCGCAGCCGACTGGGACTTCGCCCAGCACACGCTGGAAGACTGCCCCGCGTGGGCCTCTGAAAGCGAAGTCCTGGTCGACCAAATCGGACGAGACCTGTCCCCGCCAGCAATCATTGCTGTCATGCTGGCGGGCGAGGAGGGCTGGGCCGCAGTGGTCTCTTTCTGTGAAGCTGTAATGCTTCAGAAAGATAACGCTCAACGGGATCGGGAAAGGGCCGATCCCGAGCGTAGAGGACGTCGGAGACGATAGACGGGCCGCCAGAGAGTGGGGACCTCTGGTGGCAGATTAAATGCTGCGGTAGGGATTAGGATGGCGGCCTTATTGCTTTAAGACGCAATTGGGGTACCACGTTGCGATTGAGGGGGGCAAGTGATTTTCCTCTGGGATAGGGCCTGATTAGGCATGGGGTCAATTCGGGGAAGACTTGAAATAACATGGTCTGGGTCCTCCCAGAGTAGGGCACTCGAGGCCGGCCGTCGAAGTGACTTTTAGTGGAATCACCACATACTCCTGGCTCACAGTCCAGGCACATAGTCCTCGAGGAGCAGGAGATCCGAAGGGATTTTTCACCATGTTAACAGAAAAAAAAATTTCGGCGCGAACATCCATTTATTCGACGTATTAACCTCATTAGAAAACATATCTTTTACCCTCAGAACAGTTTTCAACGCGTGCAATCTCAAAAATAATGTTATCTCATACAATGTTCCATTGGTAACTATAACTTCAATTTAATTTGGAAATACTTTTTGCTCTACTAGACGAAAATCTATCTACTTTATTAGAAAGAATTAAGACGCAAAATCACGAAGTAATGAATCACAATATACAGAACATGCACATTTCATCACAGCGCGCAGAGAAAATTCGGTTGAGGGAAGTACCTGCACTCGCGTCGCTAGGAGGGAATTGAGTCCCGTCTGTCACCACTGCAACCGGGCGGCGGAGGCGCGATTACCGCCTCATGCCACCCTGAGTGTGGCCGTGGGTGGACGGAACGGGTTTTCCCCTCCACCTGCCATAACGGCTAACCGCGAGGAGGCGACGTCCGTCGCGTGTGCCGTCCGTCGCCGAAATACTAGGCATGCCTTTTAAGTTCTGCCGTTTCCATATTTCCCGGCAATTTTGAATTTGGCACTGTTCAATATTCGAATGTGTTTAAATTTTGAATCTCAAAACAGTTGAAAGTATTAGGATTAATGCTATTGTTTGGTCATAGCGTCGATTGGAATCTGTCAAGTTACGTACGAAAATGAATCTGTCTAAGGAAAATGTTCGTGCAATAATTTTCTACAACTTTAGAAGAGGCCTGACAGGGCTTCAGTGTTTTGAAGAGCTAACATCTGTGTTCAGTGATGAAGCCCCATGTCTGCGGACTGTCGAACGCTGGTATTTAGAATTCCAGCGTGGACATACTAGTGTTAGTGACAAATCTCGCGAAGGACGCCCAAAATCCGCCTTCACTGAAGATAACATCATTGCTGTGAGATAACTAATTCTCGAAGATCGTCATGTGACGTATCGAAAGATAGAGGATCTATTAGGCATTTCAGGGACAACCATTCAGAAGACCTTGCATGAAGCGCTTGATGTGAAAAAGCTATTTTGGCGTTGGATACCGCATCTGCTTTCCAACGATCACAAGGCGGCCCGCGTCAGATGGTGTAAGAAAACTCTGCAAAGGTTCAACCGAGGACAGTCAAATCACGTCTACAACATCATCACTGGTGACGAATCTTGGATCTATGCCTACGATCCTGATTCCAAACAACAATATACAATCTGGGTCTTTCAAGACGAGCCAAAGCCGACTAAAGTTGTTCGTTCTCGAAGCACTTCAAAGAAAATGGTAGATCGTAGAACGGTTAACGCAGAGTGGTATACTACAGTTTGTTTACCACAAATCATCGCCGAACTTCGAAAATCTAACTCAAAGCGACGCATCTCCTGCACCACGACAACGCAAGCTTACACAGCGCTTGTCAAACGATTGAGTATTTAAAGCAGTA